TAGGCGGATGGTAAAAAAGAAAAAAAAAAAAAAAAAAAGGGGGGAAGTCCAGGGAAATGCGGAGGGTTCTGACCTGACTAAACATGTCAAAAGCACACGGCTCTTAATAAACACGGACGACTGGTGAGTTGCGTGTATCTGATCAGCTTTTTCGTTGACCAGTGTTTCTTTTTTTTGGAGATTGAATCATCATCTTCTTCATTGTTGGGTTTTTTTTTTCTTTTTTTTTTTGTGCTGGGAAAGCAGGCCCCGTCTACTTTTTTTTCTACATTTGTGTGGCGTTGAGCCCACGACTGACATTTGGCGATTCACTGTCCTCTTTTTATTTTCCTTTCTCTCTGTCTAGATGGGCATTGCCAGCAGGCATAGCTAAACATAATGCGGAGTATTTACTCCTGTCTCATAATCAACTATATAGTATATTTCAATAGAAACAATATCCTTTTCCTCTGTGCTATCCTGGTATTCCTGGTCCCTGTTTGGTGTTTTATTAAAAGGTATTCCAATAAACGCCGTGCTTGTAGCCATGTTTCGTTTTTTTTTCTTTTTTACGTCTTTTGTTCTGCCATCACTGGACAAGACCGCATCCTACTCTACTCGTTGACGCTTGCTCTCGGCATCCTCCTCCGCGCCGTGCCCATTGATGCCCCCTTGCACCTCGATCTCGTCACGCGCTCTCGTCCGACCCGCGCCCTCTCCAAGCTCCGCGCTCTCTTCCTCACCGCCCACCTCGGCGCCCGGTCCAATCCAATTGCCCTCGTCGTCAAAGTACTCGCTGACATTCTCCGCCGTGATCCAGCCCCCACTGCCGGGCATTGGCGGCGGCAGCCCGCCATCCGCGGCGCCGCGCAGCACGCCCTGGAACCCCTCGAGAGCTTCGTGCTGCTCGGCGCTGCCCTCAAACACGATGCGGTCACGGTAGTCGGCGTCGTCGTTTTCGTCGTCAGCGCCGGCCGGGTCGGGATGAAGGTTGGAGCACGCCGCAATGGCTTCGTAGAGCTTGGAAGCGGTGTCGGTGTCAGATGCTGCCGGGGGAACAATGGTGAGCTCGATGAGGCGAAAGTCGTCATCGTCAGAGGAGCCCCTGTCAGAGAGCTCCAACTGCATCCAGACGGCGGGTGAGCTGGAGGGGAGCTGCTTGATGGCGTGGATCGAGATGGAGGGGTAGGGTATCGAGACGCCAGCTTCGGCGGCGGGGCTAAAGATGGTAAAGGTTCTGGTCAAAGACGACATTGTTAGCTAGAGCTATTGGCGGGGGAAAGAAGGTAAGAGGAATCGGCAAGTGTATAAACGTACTCGGAGGTGACGTAGACGTCGACCTGCTGCTCGACGAGCTCTTCCGCGTCGGCGTCGGCGTCGGCGGGGGCAGGTGAATCAGCGGGAAAAACGGCCAGCGCGCCGCCGGTAACCTGCTCCTTGGGCGCCGAGGCCGCAGCGCCAATAATGTGCAGATGCAGCACGGGTTTGCCGTCGACAAAGGACTCGGGCGTCTGCGACTGGTACTCGGCGAGGGGCAGAAAGTCGGCCAGCGACGGCGGGGTGCGGATCGTGGTTGCAATCATTGTAGATATTTCGCGATACCTCTAGCTACGTTATTGCCGATCTAACCAGGAGCTGGGAAGAAAGAAGTTAAAAATAAAAAGGACTCGGTTGCAGGCAGGCGAGGAGCGCTTGCTAGAGCTTAGCTTCCTGGATCGCGGGGGACAAGATGAACAAAAATCCGTTCGCGTTTCAAGGTGGGGCAATGACATGACCGCGCACGCGCGTGGCCTTGGATCTGCGACAGCTTAGCTCTTGCAACATCATTGATTGACTATTGAAAAATCCGCAGCAGCCTCACCGCGACCCAATCGTTGTCGATTTGAACACGAACCGACCAAAGGGCTCCAGAGACCGGTTGTGCAGCCCGATTAGTCGCATCGCTAAGGGCCTGCGGCTGCCGTCGCAAGTGACCATGTATAGCCATCGTAAGGACATCCAACCTCTTCCATTGTCTTCTAGGACGCCCGCTCACCCTTTCAACAGGACCCCATCCTCTCCTCGAGCAAGTCCCACTCACCGTGTCCCCCTTTGTCTCGCTGCCGACCGCCACGACCCTCTCGTACACGTACAAGACGATGCCGTCCAACATCCCCCCCTCTGCCCTCGGCATTCCCAACGCCGACACCACCGCCACCACCTCCTCCTCGTCATCCGGCCCCACGAGCGAACTACAGCAGCAGCAGCAGCAGCAGCCGAAACCGCGCTTCATCGTCTCGCAGTCGGGCAACGCCGCGCACCCCGACGACATTGTCGCCTCATGCCAGGCGCTGCACGCACACGTGACCAAGATGCAAGAGGACGCGGACCGCGAGCTGCGTGCGTTTGAGGAACGCATTCGCGAAAGAGATCTCGCGGAGAAGAGGAGGCTGGCGCCGGGATGGCTGGATAGCGACGCGCGGCTGCTGCAGCCGGAAAAGGGCAAGGCGGCGGCGGCGCAGGCGGAGAATGAGTTGATGGTGGGTGAGCCGGTTGCGGGACAGGCTGGTGGTGCGGAACCGGCGACGGACGAGGGGGCGGCGCTGGACAGAGCCTTTGGTGGGATAAGCTTGAGATGAGTTGGATTTTGGAAATTCATATTGACAGATGTTGGAGCGCTTTTTAACGACGCGGCGTCTGTCTTGGGTGTTGGGAGTATTTCATCTTTTTCACTTGGAAAATCTGCTGGAACAATAATGACAGATACAGAAGCAAGTGTTTTCAAAGTGGCACACAGCTTGTATTAGGTTTAAGAGTACTAATTGAATTTACACACTAGCCGTCCAATTCGTTGTCGGGCCGAGTTTTGAGAAGGTTATACAGCTTATTAGATCATGTTGACAGCAAAGAGGGCGACGGCACCAGCAGCAAGCATGGCAGGCTTCTGCATGTTGGCAGCGCCGACCTGGATCTGGGTGCTGGTGGTGTTGTTACCGGCCTGGGAATTTCATGTTAGGTGACTAATTGACAAGCGAGTACAGCTTTTTGGAGTGCTTACAGTGTGAGAAGCGCTGGCGGTAGGCTTGGCGGTGGTGGTGGCGGCCGAGGTAGAGTGCACCTGGGACGAGCCGGTGGCCTGGGAGGCGGTGGTCTGAGGGGCAGTGGCCGACTGCGAGGTCTGGCCGGGAGCAGAGGGCTGGCTGGCGGCAGAAGACTGGGTAGCCGGGGCGGAAGAGGCGGGGGCCGAAGATGCAGGAGCAGACGAGGCCGGGGCAGAAGCGTCAGTCTTGGCAGGCTCCGAGGGAGCGGCACTGCCGGCGCCGCCAGAAGGCTTGGGGGTGGACTCGAAACCGCACTTTTCAGCAGCGGCGCCGACCTTGGTGCCGTAGTGCTTCCAAATGTCGTAGGTCAGGGCGCAGTCGAGGCAATTGCTGAGGAGGCTCTTCCACTTGGCATCCGAGCAGTAGCCTTCCTTGGCCGAGTCCTGAATGGCGTAGCCTGCAATGGTTTTGATATTAGAAAGGTGGACAGAAGCTTATGGGGGAGGGGGCGAGAAGGGGTCAGCAGAGCGAATACATACCGCAGTTGGCGTGGCATTCATAGGCAGGACCAGACGTTTGACGCTTGGAGAGGGGGACCGAGGCGGGGAACTCGAAGCCAATACTGCCGGCAGAGGCCAGAGAGACGGCGGAGCCGACGGCGACGAGGCTGGCGACGAAGTGCATTGTGGAGGAGGAGGAGGAGGAGGTCTTTTGCTAATGCCACAGAAAACGAGGGACTGTTGAGCGAGTGTGTCTGAAAACTGGCCAAACGGGAATGTTGTTGGATGGGAAAAAGGACCAACACGACGAGAGCAGAAGGCCCGGAGCGTACTTATAGCGAGTGGCTGGGTGTTTATGAAGGAGGACGGAAAAGATCCAAAAAAAAGGAGTCAGGGGCAAGGGAAGTGGAATGCACAAAACCATATCCGTGCTCATCTCTCTACTGGTGCGCAGAAAGCGACAAACGGTCATGAACATGCGACGCGCTACAACTGGAGTCGCCTTTTCGGACGCCGACGGGGTAAGGGCCGGACATGCATGGGGGGGGGGGAGGAGAAAATCGAATGGGCTAGAACCGACGAAACAAGAGCACCATCAGGAATGGATTATTTAGGTAGTGGCCACAGCTGGGCAAGCGGCAAGCCACAGAACGGTAAAAGCTCGTGTGGTTGTTTACCAGCGTTGCAGACAGACATGTCAGAGGGCAAGAAGAGATCCCTGTCTTTTGCTGCTTCCAGTGTGTGTGTGTATGTGGAGGGGCGAGGTGGATGATCTTTATTGGATGTTTTGTTCCCGACAAAGAGTGACCCCCCGCCTTGTCTCGGAGGGGGGCAGGCAATTTGGGCATGAGCTTCCTGTTTCGGGGACGATGTTTCTTCGGCATAGAGTATACAATTTGCCGTGTTGCGTATATTAACTCATCTACTTCAACTACTCATCTTCTTCTTTTTTTTTTGTCTTTTTGTCTTGGTGCTGGCCTTGCACGATCAAACGCGACGAGAAGTCGGATGTTGCTGCTTAAAGCTTGTTCTGGAGCTGAAATGCACGGGCTGACATTTTATCGAGCCACTCAGAATACTGGGTGCACAAGATTTGAAAAAGAGTTAGAAAAAAAAAAAAAAAAGCAAGAATTCCCTCAACGCCAAGACATGTATACCGGGGGAGCATTATCGCTTCCATTTTTGCAAGGACAGGGCCTTTGGGACTTTTGAACGGCGTCGCCGTTTTAGTCGCACTGGTGGGCGGACCCCGTCAACAGCAGCCCCATGGCGGGTTCCACCATGACCAATGAGATGATGTGAATCCATCTAATCAATGAAAGTGGCATCTAATCAGATCATCTGATAACTTTTCAAGAAAATACTTGGGTAGCGAGACATTCCTCAATATCGGCCGTACATCCCCCGAAGCCCTTTTTTCCACACCACTTTCTTTTTTTTCTTCTTCTTTTTTTTTTTTTTCAACATCTCCGCACCTTGTCAATCTCCACACCACCTCTGCAAAATGCCATGCCAGCCTCCCTCCCTCCTTCCAGTCTGCCCGATATTCGCCTGCAGGGTGCAACAGGAGGGGGTCGCAACGCGGAAGAGGGTGGTGGGTGTGGTTTGCCTGTCCACTCTGGTCTTGGCCCTCTTTCTCGGCCAGTCATGCCATTTTTCTTTCCATTCGCATCCATTCATATTCCACATGGCTCGGCAAAATGATTTGCTTTTTTTTTCTTTACTGCATTTTAAATCATTAGCATTACCTTGCAGCGTGGCAAAAGGTGGATTCCCCCTCCCCCCCAGTGAACCTGTTTGTCGTGCACGGGCTTGGCTTTTGGCTTTTTCTTGGCTTTTGCTTGTAAAATGTTCCCCATCGGATTCAATAAAACGCCACAAATTCGGATTGGCAGGTGATGGGCTCGGCTTTAAACTTGCCCTGTCAAGTGTGGGAGCCCCGAACGAAAGAAGAAAAAAGACGACGGAAGAAAGGAAAAAAAAAAAAGGAAATCATGAAAATTTCTTTCTTTTTTTTTTCCTTGTCCAGAAGCAGTAGTCTCGTAAGAGGGGTGTGGCAGCCATGTCTTCATGATCATGTTAGTCTGGTAGGTATTAATGTCGGCGCCATCCCACCTACATACATGAGCCTGCCCGTCTTTGGAAACTCGCGTGCGTCTTTGTCTCTCTCCTCTCTCCTCTCGACCGCTGCTTCTCACGTAACCCCCGCCCGGCCTCGACACCTATTCTTGCTGTTCTTTTTTTTTTTTTTGCCCTCGCAGTTTATAGGTCAAGAAAACTTGCTGCAGCCATGCTTCGTCTTACAACTCTCGCTGCCGTATCGGCCATCATGGCCACTGGCGCCTCTGCCGCCGGTATCAGAGCCGCGGCCAAGGGCCCAATGACATCCGAGACGATTGGGCCGGCCGCTTTTATGTGGCCGCCTGACAGAGTCTGGTCCGCCGACGCCGACAACACGGCTCCCTGTGGCTCGATTGCCGGTGTTGGAAACCGCACCAGCTTTCCTCTCCGTAAGTCTGGTTCTTTTTTTCTTTTTTTTTTTCTTATTCTTACCGAAATGTTACGTTGCCAGCCGTTCGTGTTCTAACCAAGCATCACAGAAAGCGGCAAGATTGCCCTCGTCGCCCAGGATGAGTCTTATGACCTAGAGCTGGCCATTTCATATCTCCCTGGTAAATCACCTCGAGACTCGTCCTAATGAAACTAGACAACTAATAGAAAAAAAAAAATAAACAGAACCAAAGACCAACAGCGACTTCCACAACCTAATCAGCATGGAAGCCTTCAAGGACATCAAGCTCGGCCACACCTGCGTCACACTCCCCGACGCCGCCGCCTCGGTCCAAGCGGGCACCAACGCCACGCTGCAAATCAAGTACATTGCCGACTTTGACAAGCCCGAGAATCAGACGTTTTACGCCTGCTCCGACATTACCTACGTCGAGCTCTCCAACTTTAGAGAACCCATCCCCTGCTTCAACGCCACCGAGCCCACCGATTCCAGCAAGACGGGCAGCGGCAGCGGCGCATCCTCGACTGCGAGCGCCTCGTCGTCGCCCAGCGCTGGCGGCAGCAAAAAGTCGGGTCTTTCTGGTGGCGCGATTGCTGGCATCGTCATCGGCTCCGTTGCGGGCGTGGCGCTGATTGCCGCTGCCGCCTTGTTCATCTTTCGCCGCAAGCAGCAGCGTCTGCGTGTCCTCCGCCAGCAAAACTCGGAGCGCGGCAAGTGGGCGGCCAATGAGCAGTCGCGTGACTCGCAGTCGCAGGGAAGCGTTCGAATGAACAATTTGTAGTGTTTGTGCAGTGTGAAGTGAAAGGGGGGGTTAATGAGTGAGTGTGGGGGAAAAGGGCAAGAGTGGTGATGATTGCAATGATGTTACAATTTTACCCAAGAGCGTGTTGGAATTCGATTTTATAATGAAGCCCTTCGTATGATGGTCTGACGTGTAAACTGAAATGATGTCGATACACACAAGTTTTACTCTTTTAATTTGATTCGTTCCATGACACACAAGTCTCGGTGGTTTTTTCAACGTGCACGGAAAAAAAAACCAAGAGCAGCAATGTAAGCTCATGGCAGATGAAGAAATAACATGAAAAGTTACAAGCACTAGTGAATCCCAATCTTGGACGCGTATACATCATAAAAAAAAAAAAAAAACCACAAATTGCTACATGATACATCCCATCAGTCCCTATCCGTCGTGTGGAAAACCAGCGCGCGAATCTCAATACTCTCCCGCGTCGGCGCATCCGCCGGCGTGGCCGGATCCTCAAACGCGGTATGCGGCACCCTCCGGGCCCTCCCATCCGTCTTGCTATCAAAGCACTTGATCAGGAGCGCCTGATTCGGGGCGAGCCCGGATCGGTAGTACCATTTCTGGCCGGGGCTGTGCCGCACGCTAAACGTCTCGCCGTTGCGGTTCGGGTAGATGAGCTGGCGCGGGACGAGGTCCGTCTCGGGCACCGAGTGGGCGTCGGCGACGGCGAGCGGGTCGCGGCGCACGGTGCGGATCGGGCGCCAGACGTTGATGATTTGCACGCGCCCGCGGACGAGCTCGTCGGCTTCGAGGGGCAGGTGGTGCGGCACGCGCGACAGAGAGGCGGCGTAGGTCTGGTCAATGTGCACCTGCTGCACGGGCGGGCGCGCCGTCTTGTCGAGCTTGGTGCCGGCGGGCACGCGGCGGATGGTGTGGTCAAAGATGAAGACGCGGTCGGCGCCGGTTCTACGAGCAGAGAGAGAGAGCGTTAGAGGAGTGGGTTGTTCGTGGAAGTATTGGGGCAAAAAGAAAAAAAAAGTATTATAGTGATGGTTTGAAAGAACCATGTTGCGATGTAATAATGGTGCCATGACATGGTTGTCCCACTTACACGTCTTTGAGCAGCTTTTCAGTTTCGGCGTAGTAGCCTGCCTTGATTTGCTCATCGTCGACAAAGTCCCGCTCCGTCACGGCACGCTGGAAAACCTGGAAGCCATTACGGTCGAGGGTGTACTTGTCCTCTTCGCCGGCAATGTCCTTGATGAGCACCTGATGCGTGTCCTTTTTCTGCTGGTACGTCTCGGGCTTGTCGACGTAGGTGGGAGGCGGGGGAGAGCCGTCGGCATTGTCGAGGTAAAAGTTGAGATTGGCTGTAACGTCGTGCTTGGGGACGCGGGAGTCTGCCTGGTGCGCAATCTGCACCCGCGGCTGGGTGTTGATGATGGGTGCGCTTTGGACTGCGGCGGCGGCCATGTTGCTGGTAAAAGAGTAGATGCACGTTTAAATTCAAGGGTTGAAACAGATATAGGTTTCCCAGTTTATAAGGCGAGAATGGATGACATATGCCTGGGGTAGAAATGGATTTTTATACCCGAGCATCGGGTCATCGTTCCCCAGCACGTCATTAAAGAGCAGATCATGGTAATACCCGGATTGATAATCACCAACTTTGGCGGCTGCTGTGACACCAGTCCCTAGCACGTCAGGGCATTTCAGCCACACAGAGTAAAGTTGCAAGGCTATTGCCAACGAAAGCCCGCGTCTTGGGGGGTCTTGATTTGAAATGCGTGCGGAGTTGGGGGCTTTGTCATTGCAGGGCAGGGCGATCGCGCCATCTCACACCAATGATATCGGGCGCGGGTAACGTGGGCGATCGGCATATAGTATGTATCAGACGGCCCCGCGGACGAGCCCCTCTTGAGGGGATCGGAGACTTTGTATAATCAGGCCGGTTTGGGCCAAGGCATCTTTGATAGGACTTGGTAGATGCAGAATACTTTGCCGAGGCAATCTTTTAAAGGAAACTCTGTGAATGGCTGACCTGGCGAGATGAGGGTGGAATTGTATACCTTTTGTCATCTCGGTCATTACCAATTTCTCGCGTTTTTCCTTGAATGTTTTGTTGTCTCATTGATTTTACCGTAGCCACGGACTCATTTATTGTACATGGCTATACAACAATATGATGTTGATCATCACTTGCAAGAGTGTGATGCAATGGCAACCCGCCGGCTATGTAGTGAGGAGGCTTTTTGATTGTCAGTAAAAAAAAGGAAAAAGAATACATTGATATAATCTAGAAAAAAAAAAAAAAAAAAAAAAAAGAATGGTTCAGACTAAAGACGATACATAGTAATATCAAAAGAATTTGCAAAAGTTTCAATTCATCAATATGTACTAAGAGTGTGATATATTCGGGTACTTGCTTGCGGCCTTGGAAAGTCAGGCCTGAGCAAGTAGCCTCTTCTCAATGCGCATGCAATAAAATACCATCATCAAACCTTGAAAGAAAACAGTCTATTCCCTTATTGAAGAGGCTTATGAATGAGCTTTGTAATTGTCGTTCCGTCCGGCAGAATGGCGTCCTCTTCCTCAAGGCTGTATCCCCACCACCGGGGAATAAGCACTGTCCAAACGTACCAGTAAACTATGCTGATCAAGACCCTAGTTATTGTTACTGTTAGCACATTGCATATGACTTCCTAGAGACAAAACGTACGTCGACATGCCGACTATGGCATACGTGGCGTAGAATAAGCCACCCGTGTATTTTTCTTTGGGCGGTACAAAGGGCGCCACCAGCAGCGCGACGCTCAACAGAAGCTTGACTGTGACTGCAAGGAGTGATGCCTTGTAAGGGCGATGCAAGTCTGGCTGCTTGTACCGCAGCCAGAGTAGTCCGACCGCAATCGCTAGGCCCGTCAGCTGCCCTGCATAGCCTTCCACCTCGAGGATGAAGGAGTAGATTCTGCCCGAGGGCGGCAGCACAATGATGAGAAAGGATGGAATATAGTTTACGATGAGTCCACCAAAGGGCGAGTTGAAAGGCTTGGTCGATGAAAGCAAGTCGGAAAATGGTAAAAAACCCTGACGGGCTATTTCGTGCTTTAACCGTGCCATGGCAAAGACTACCACGAGCACGTTGCCAAAAGCCGACAGTGCGACAAAGAGAGGAAGTACTCGACCGCCAAGACCAGATCCGAATATGCGTTGAAAGAAGAGGGCGGCAATCAGCTCGCCGCTTCCTTTAATCTCGTCTAGCGGCACGACGAGAAAGTAGGCAATGTTGATGAGAAAGTACATGATGCATGCCGTGACCAAGGCTGTCCTGGTGACGGAGCGCAGAGTCCGCACCGGGTCCTTGACCTCGTTGAGCACGTTGCTTATGTTTTCAAGGCCCGAGTACGAGTAAAAGACCTTGAACAGCGACGTGCACAGCACGCCCCAGTTCCAATTGCTGCCTTCCCAGAGACGATGCCATGTAAGTTGTTGCGACACGCTGCTGCCCAGTGTTGTTGGTACGCCCGTGTCTGGCTGAAAAACCACCACATAGACGCCGCACAAAATCATAAAAATGACAATGCCAATCTTGACCCATCCGAGAAAGTCTTGCAGCTTGATGCCAAACCGCGGCGTAAACAGGTGAATGGCCGTCACCAGCGTGAGCATGCCCACAGCCACATATTTCTGCGCCGCCTCGCCGCCGGCCTGATCGTGACCAGCAACCGCGTAGAGCGTGTACTGGCTAAAGATGACGCAGTTGCTGGCGGTAAAGCCCAGCAGCACGGCATTAATCGCGACGAGCGTCGACGCCAGGAAGCGCGGACGCCGAAACGTGTACTCGAGGTAGACCTTGTGGCCGCCGGACCGCGGCAGCGCCGAGCCGTACTCGAGCAGGATGGCGAGGCCGGCGGCCGTGACGAGCGCGCCGACTACCCACAGCAGCAGCGCGACGCCGGGGCTGCCGACGGACTGGAGGATGGCGCCGGGCGTGGCAAAGATGCCGCTGCCAATGATGCGCGACATGACGAGAATGTACGAGCTGTTCCAGGTCAGCGTGCGGCCGAGCGTCGACGTCTCGGGCAGCACGTCGTCGTCGACGGAGCGCGTCGGCGCGTCTTTGAGTGTGAGAGCATTGTCGGAGAAGGAGGAGGAGGAGGAGGAGGAGGAGGAGGCTACGGTCCGTGTCGCGGTGTACGAAGGCGTGTCTGGCAGCAGCGGCAGCCGCTCATCAGATTTGGTGGCCGTCATGTTGGGCGACGGTGACAAAACATGGGATATACAATAAACAAAGGACCAGAAAATGAAATCTTGGCCAGATGTTGTAGTTTATTAGCAGCAGCTGGGCTTTGAACAAAAAGGTTCTGAACGAGCGCTGTTGATATATACGCGCGCGCAGGGCATGAAACAGTTTCAGTTTTGCACAACGCACAGCGTAGCGGCACAGCAATGGTGCGTATCACCATGCATTTCCCTACTATTGCACCATTCAAACTTGGTTCAAAAAGACTTGCCGTTGGACGGATAGCGATCGCGTCGAAGCGTGGGTTGCCCCATTAGGGTGATCCGTCTAGGATGGCGTCATGGTAAGCCCCAATGTCATCGTCCACCCGCGCGTGCCGTGGTCGCATAGATGGACTAATAAAAGGGGGACTTTTAAAGGGCTAAAAAAACACGGGGAGAGTTATCCCTCGCTGTATTGGTAAAGAGGCGGTTCAGAGTCGAAATATTAGTTGTCGCTGTTTTTTGCAAGTGTTCTATTATCTTGTCATTTGTATTCATTTTGCTATTTTCACATCTACCATTTTCACATGTCTACTATTCACAACTGTTTCTACCATCTCAAGTCGTGCTTGCTCATTGCATCATTATAGCCTCACCACTTCGACTTGAGTAGCCGATAGATGCATCTGTGGTGTATTTGTAATAGAGCTCAGCCTAGTGCGGATTTGGACAACGTTGAAAAGTCCCAATACGAACGCAGCACAAGGCGAACATGTTTCATTCCATCCAGAACCCTGTGAACCACTTACAAGTTACATCTCGCCCAGCTCCACGGCCGATCTAGCGCAGCCAACGGCCGTGCATCCCCGGTGTCAAAAGTCCGCCGCCGTCCCAGATATGCCCGTGTGCATCTCCGCATCTGCAAAGCTCCCATCTGTTGCAACTTCATAGATTCGTACTTGCAATAATTACTTGCAGCAAGAGTAAATTGCCACATACACAATGCTCAAACAAGTAATTCTTTCCGCAAAATTCGCCTCTTTACCGCATTTTACCTGCGCAAAAGCCTGTTAACGTGGTCTTTAGCTAGTCACCTTTGTCCATGACTTCATCTATACCACGTCTATATATAAGTACCTAGCTGTCTGCAATGTATAATGCAAATAAAACAACGACAACTTGTCTTATACTTTGCAAGTAAACACCGTCATGGCTCCTATCCGTACAGCCATCATTGGCCTTTCAGGCAACGCCATCTCATCATGGGCCAGCATCGCCCATCTGCCGTATCTCTTATCAGAGCGCGGTCGCTCGCAGTACGAAATCGTCGCGCTCCTCAACACCAGCGTCGAATCTGCCCAAAACTCCATCAAGCTCTTTTCCCTGCCGCCGGGCACAAAGGCCTACGGCGACCCGGAAGACCTTGCCCGGGACCCGGACGTTGATCTCGTCGTCTGCGCAACGCGCGTCGACGCACACTACAAGGCGACGCTGCCGAGCGTGCGCGCAGGCAAGCGGGCTTTCATCGAGTGGCCGCTCGCGCAGGACGCTCAGCATGCGCAGGAGCTTGCCGAGGCGGCCGCCAGCCACGGCACGCGCACGCTCGTCGGCCACCAGGGCCGCTTTGCGCCCGTCCTGGTGAAGCTCAAGGAGACGCTCGAGAGCGGCCGTATTGGCAAGGTCCTCAGCAGCGATGCGCGTTCGTTTGGCGGCGGTACTGAAGGCCGCGATAAGCTTGGTGCTCGCGGCGCGTATTTTGTGGATCGTGCCGTCGGCGGTAATATATATACCATTATATTCGGACACTGTATGTGATGATTGAGGGAGCATGCCTTTTTTTTTTTTTTTTTCCGTTGATTCTGACAAGTGCACACAGTCTTTGATGGCTTGCAGTACGTCTTGGGGGACTTGCAACATGGCACCGCCCACTTCCAGCTACAGCGACCAGACATTAAGCTAGTGGAACCGACTGGAAAAGTTGTCGATACGATCCGGTCCAACGTCCCCGACCTCATCATCGTGAATGGCACTCTCAACGGGACCGAAACCACGCAGCAGGGCGCCACAGTGTCGCTGCGCTTCCGTGCGGGCGAGCCCTTCAAGGGCGATCCCGCCTTTGTATGGACCATAAACGGCGAAAAGGGCGAAATTCGACTAACTTCCGTCAATGGGCCCACGTTTCACGCAGCAGCGGACAATAAAACCGTGCATCTCGAGGTGCATGATTTCGAAACTGACCAAGTCGAGAAGATTGAATGGGACTGGAGCGGGTGGGAGGCTGAGCTACCCATGGTGGCGCGAAGCATCGGCACGCTGTATGATAGATTTGCCCGCGGCTTGGATGATGGTACAGACGGATTGCCGTCTTTCCAGACTGCTTTGCATAGACACCAGCAACTTGAAGAGCTGCTGAACCAGTGGAAGGAATAGGTGACTATACACAGTTACCTTTTATACGTATAATCATACGTTCAAGCATGCCTGAAATAACGCTTTTGAATCATACTTTTAAAAAAACGTTGCACAGAAACCGGCAACTGGAAAAATTGCAGAATCATAGGTGATGCTATATACAAAGTGACGATGCAGCCCAATGGCAGCTAGCCTCCACCCACGTGCGCCATCATGGCAACTGCAAGAACAGACTAGAGTTTTTGTTTTTTTTTTTTTTCGAATTTGAAGATTTTTCTACCAAGCTTCAGTCTCTATCATAATTGAATCCAAAATATCCTAGAATCTATTCCACACTAAGTCCTCCTCTCATGCAACGAGTTGTGCTAAACGACTCGTCTCAAGCAGTGTCGTTCGGGTCGTCGCCCGTGTCGGCCAAACTTTGACGGACAACTATCATGCTCCAAACACTACCACATGCGGCGCCTTGGCGTAGTCTTAAAATTCAAAGACTATTTCATTGTATTCTCAGATATAGAAGCATGAAATACCTTACATCTCTTGCAATAAACGTGGGCAGCTAAGCTCCATCGCGTGTCTTGGCATGGCTAGCTTCCTGCAAGCCAAGGAAGCTAATTGCTGCAATCCGTCGGTATTATTCTTCTAGATACTCAATAACTTATAGACGGGGAAATATATAATCCCTGATGAACAAGCACGTGCAACCGTGCTTTTGTCTACTGCCCTGCAGACCTACCGCCCACGGTCGCGCGGCATCGACACTGAGTGGACAAACCACCAAGCAAATGACATGCCCCAGCCCATCATTTCAAGCTAATTTATTATGCTTTATTTCGATGCTGTAGAGGTGCCGCAGATAGCCATGATGCCGGAGACATTCTCCGGCAAGCACATGTATATATATATATAAATATATACACATGATCAAAAGACGGACTCCTCGACCCGTTCTCCGCGCCGTGCCACCATCACCACCATCACTCTACAGTCGCGAGACTAACCACTGCCAACATGCATCAATCCGTTATTCTGGCGCTCGCCATGGCCGCTGCCGCCCAGGGCGCAGTTGACAACTCGAAGCTCGATCCTCTGCGCTTCCGACAAGACGGCACGTTTCACATTTCCGTCTTTTCAGATCTGCACATGGGCATGTGTAAGTCCACCAACCAACCAATCCGAAAACCATAAGATTTCCTGTCCCCTCCCTCCCCCCCTTTTTTTTTCCAACTTTTTTCTTATTTTTTTGTAGATGCCAACGTCCCACGTGGTCCAAAGCAAGATGCCAAGTCCGTCTCCGTCATGGCGTCGGTGCTCGACATGGAAAGGCCCGACTTTGCCGTCATCAACGGGGACCTGATCAACGGCGACAGCACCCGCGCCGACAACAGCACGCGCTACCTCGACCAGATTGTCCAGCCGCTCGTCGACCGCAACCTCACCTGGGGCTCGACGTACGGCAACCACGACCACCAGCCCAACCTGTCGGGCGAGCTGCTCCTCGCGCGCGAGCAGACCTTTTCCGGCGCCCGCACGCAGAGCATGGTGCCCGGCGCGGCCGCCGGCAGCACAAACTACTACCTGCCCGTCTACTCGGCGAGCTGCAAGGATGTCCGCTGCTGCGCGCCCAAGCTACTCCTCTGGTTCTTTGACAGCCGCGGCGGCTACTACTACCAGCAGCGCGACCGCCTCGGCCGCGCCGTGCACCATCCCAACTGGGTCGACGAGAGCGTGGTGCAGTGGTTCGCGGCCACGAGCGCCGGCTTGCGGACGCGCTACGGGCGCGTCATCCCCTCGCTGGGCTTTGTGCATATTCCCGCCTACGCGTCGGTCGAGCTGCAGAACAAGGGCGTGCACCCCAACCGCCAACCGGGCATCAACGACGAAAAGGCTAGCCCGCAGGCGCAGGGGTGGTGTGAGGGCGGCGCCCACGAGTGCCCGTATGGCAAGCAGGACACGGCGTTTATGAAGGCCATTGCCGCAGTCGACGGCATGATGGCGCTCTTCTCCGGCCATGACCACGCCAACTCGTGGTGCTACAAGTGGGACGGCGAGCTCCCCGGCGTCGAGGCCAAGGGCAACGGCATCAACCTGTGCTACGGCCAGCACACAGGCTACGGCGGCTATGGAGACTGGATCCGTGGCTCGCGAGAGATTTTCGTGTCCCTTGACAAGCTTCGTGACCTGACCATTGACTCGCATATTCGCACCGAGCTAGGCCAGGTCATTGGTGCCGTCTCACTGAATGCCACGTACGGCCAGGACTCGTATCCCGCGTCGCCCAACGACAAGACATACCTGTAATAGTAGCTCCTTTCATGTTGTTATGAAAAGTTAAAAAAAAAAAAAAAAAAAAAAAAAAAGGTCACATCTATTGATCCAGCGAATTGCCCAACATGAGCGACTGCTGATTAAAGTATTGGGACTCCCAGTCCTCCACAATCGTATCAAAGTTGCCCCAATCTTGAATCGTGTCAGCTTGCAACGGTAGATTGAGAGTCTGCTCAGCAGTCGTCACAAACGCCTGGTGATCTATGGCGCTCTGCGCGTCGCCATTCTGGCCTCGGCCGTTCTGCAGACGTTGGCGCGAGTCGATGAAAGCATTGGCGATGCGGTATAGAGCGGCGCATAGCGTCTTTTGGCGATGAACGAGCTCATATCCGGCGCCAATATCGTCGAGCGTGTCGAGCACCTTTTTCAGCAATTGCAAGTCGTTGGTGTCCGTGTTGGCGATGCTGTGGAGAAAAGTGACAACGTATGGCGTAAAGGAGGAATACATGAAGATCCTAATCAAGTTAATACACGGGTGAAGACGTGTACGTGGCAGGATGGAGACCTACCAAACGCCGTAATATGATACAGTGCCAGGTCCATGTGCAAGCACGGCGGGAAAGATGCGCAGATGCGACTCGAGACCCTGTCGGGCCGCCGCGAAACACTCGGGTGATATGTCCGAGGGCGAGTTAGAGTTTGTGCTGCCACGATGGAGCAGAGTCAGCACCGAGTAGTAGATGACCTCGACAGCCATAAACGTATGCTGGTGCACCATGGGATAGTAAGCATCGGCGCTGTTGACCTGCTTCCACTCCATGTACCATTCGTTGAGCTCGCCAGCAAACTTGGCGACGCGGGCTTGCCGCTTCGAGGGCTCCACAGCGAGAGTGGCAATAGCGCCCGGCGAGTAGATTTTGCGATAGATTTTGCTCTGGATGCGTGAGAAGCGGGTAAAGGATCGCAGGGATTCGTCCCAGACGGCCTGGCGCGGATCCTCGGATATATTGAGCTGCGGCACGTCCACGTCAAAGTCTTGGACGACAGCGGCCCGACCGAGGCGCAAAGTGAGGCCCAGCTCCGAGATGTAGATGTGCCAGAAGAGGAGCCGTCGCTTGTGCGACTCCTCGGGCGGGAGCTGGCCCTTGTCGTTTCTGTGATAGCCCAGCTGCAGGCAGTGCCGGGCGGCGGCCGACACCACGGCTTGGTGGCGTACAATATCGCCGAGCGTGTGAGCATAGTAGGCCTGGACAGTTAGCATCTTGTTTGCGTGCGGCTTGGGCGAGACGTACAGCGAGACACAGCGTCAACGCATTCTCGTAGTTGGCAATGGCAATAATCTCAGCGTCCTCGACACCCCCGTTGAAGTTGGCATCGGTTATCCGCCGATACTTGGCCAGCTCATCGGGGTCAATATCGCTATCACCGCGGGACTGTACCTCCCAGATGGCAAAGTACAGCAGGGCGTTGAACAATGTCAGCTCGCCTGCTGTCACAGGATCCAGAGGAAAGTAAATGTGCTGGCACAGGTTTTTGAGCACGTCCAGGTTTGGTATCGGATGAACAATAAGCAGCAAAGGCTTGGTCCCTACGTCCTAGTTAGCGGCGCCAGCTCTGCGCGTGACATGCCGGATTACAAGACCATTCTTCACTCTGCTTTCGAGGTAGCGTATAATCTTAAGGACAAAGCTAGAAGAGACCTGCTCCCGTTTCAAGATGTGATTCGAGTTGGACGCTGCTTGAGCCGCGTTTCGACTAGTGTTGGAAGACGCTGGCACACTGCTTACGGCGCTCAGGGTTTTGAGCTGGTCGGCAACCTCGCGGGATTCTGAGCTGGCCGGGTGAGCGAGCTCGGCAATCTGGCTGGCAAGGTATGACTGGCGCTCAAAGGACGGGTCGCGCTCGACGAAGCCTGTCGACTCTGTCCATGTCTTTTGGGTGGCGGCCAGCGGCGCGACGGAAGCGCTGTTGTCGTCCCGATTGTTGCCGTTGAAGTCAAAGGAGCAGCGCGGCGACGGCGAAGCGGACAGTTTCTCAAGGGCCTGCTCCAGACGAGCTATGCGGTCCTGCATCTCCTTGAAGGGATTTCCGCTACTGTATACACCCCCACACCCCGCGGGGAGAGAGAGGCCGTACGCGGTCCCCCTCTCCCGTGAGTGTGGACCTCGATTAGCCTGCGATGCTACATCGTGGGGTTAGGGAAGTCCATGAGTGTGGAACTCGAGTGAATAATCAGAAATAGGGGAGATGAGAACGTGATCCGGATAAGTACAGATAAGTATCCACGATTCTTGTACATGAGATGAAAGGGTTTCAGAGTGGCCCGTGTTCCGGGAACCGATCAGAGGCCTTCAACTTACGTGGATGCCGGCGCCGCCACAACCGCGGGACGCCCAGCGCGCGATCCGGGCTGACATTGGATCTTGGACGTAAGACAGTTGGAGCAGGGAAATTCGCGATTGCATCTAATCTGCGATTGATTAACACGAGGGTGCCAATGACATCTACACACGTCCATCTGATCTCGCTCTTCAACCGCACATCTCTCATAATCAGGGCGCTGCGAGCTGGCAGATGAATCGGCAACGGCGGCTTCTAACCTTTCGGACCCGGCAATTGTGGCACTAGTAGGTAGCCGTGGCGATATGTCCCATGTCAGTGATTCCGAGCCTGAGTCCATCGTGAGATGGGCGATTCGCCGAACATACCGCTCGAGGCACGACACTTGGTGACTCCATCATGAACAGTCGAATCCTTCTCTGCTATGCATCAGGCTCCCGGGTCAAGATTTCATGCATGGCTGGAGAATTGAGATGCAGAATGGATAGATAGTCATGATGCGCTGCCGCGGAACGCGCGGGACACGCGGGCCTTTTCCTGGAGGCGGAGTTTGGTCTGCTCCGCTGACTCATCAGGATGGCCTCAAGCTACCCTAGACTTTTGTCCTTTTTTTTTTCTTTTCTCTTTCTCTTGGTGTCTCTCTTTTACTTTTCCATTTTGTCTTTATTTTTATGTTTGTTTTATCTTTTCCTCTTTTGCATACTTGAGTCTCTTTTTTTTGTCCACTCTTGATTGTAGTGATTGAAGACGCGTCAAAGTTACGGCAAAGTAGAGGTCTTATTCATTATTATTAGCGCTACTGGGTATCTATGCAAAAGTATCAAGGAGCTGCATTCGAAATATCAATTGAAGAGTCAATCTTCACTGCCCGTCCACTGTTGCCCAGCATCCATTTGCTCGCTCAGGACCCCCGATTTCTACCCAGACATCCTGCGTCGTCGCACCCGCCCACAAAGACAGTAGCGAACCAGCGAGATGATGACGAGAGTAGCCGCGAGAGTAGCCGCAATGACGACAAAGAGGTAGTATTTGCCAATGGTCAGAATGAGAGCGGCGTCCCATCCGTGCCAACTGCTAGCACCGCCATGAGCCATGAGTGGCGTCGTCACCAAGCCTCGAAGCATGTGCGGCGCCAGTCTGCCATTCTCGTCACCCAGAACGTGCACCTTGTCCAGGGCACGACCGGATACCAGCGCACGCGCGTAGCTCATCCACATGTTGGAAAAGAACATGCAGCCTGCGCTAAACATGTTTTCGACATAAGGTAGACGAATGGGCCACCCCCAATGCACATCATGCGACGGCACCGATCTGAGGAGATGTGACAGAAACGCATGGCCTTGTTGGGATATTATAAATGCATTATTCACACCGGCAGGGTGCGCGCCTGGCGACACAAAGGGGAGGCGCATCAGGGGTGTGCTATCTAGCGCGACCAGGCACGTCACGTCGAGATCGAGGTAGACGCCGCCATAGTGATGCAGAACAGCGTAGCGCAGGACGTTGGCGCGCTGAATATCTTGATAGTAGCCGCAATAGTGTGGAAATACCCTTGGGTAGTGCTGCATAATAAAGTCGGTGGCATTGTCGTCGGTCCAGTGCTTGAATTCCCAGTCCGAGTGTAGCTGTCGGCAGCTTGCCATAGCGTCATGGTATCTGTCAATGTTGACGTTTCCGAGAGCGACACTGTGTATAATCTTGGGCGGCGCTTCGACCGTCAGAGCTGGGGCAGGGTATCTGTATATCAAGTCCGGGTGGCTCTGCAGGAGTGGATAAAATGTGGAATAGGTGCGCGCAATGTCGAGCAAAACGTTCAAATGCTGCTGGATAGCAATGAGGGTAACCAGAATACCGAATATGACAACGGTCCCGACAAGTCGATTACGTATGGCCATGGTTGACGGAAAGGTAGCCTTGGTTTGGTGGTGTTGAAGGATGGAAAGGCAGTTGGAGAGACGGTGATGAACAGCGTCTGCAGCTGAGCTATTCGACAGGTGTATGACAAACTTTTCAATTATCAGATAAATGTGACCCAGAATATGAGACTGCTGGTTGAACCTTTGACGTGTGGTTTTCCAAAGTATTGTAGACGAGGTGTGTCTTGGTTGTCCATGGCAGCCTGCCTATTTAGGTGAGTCAAGGGGAAATCTCGATACACACCTCTTGTGTGGTTAGAAGCGAGATCGTATTCCTAAAAAGGCAATGTTGAATGATTTATTTGCATAATATCCTTATAGGAGATATCACAGTGGGCCGCTTTGTGTATTTTATAGTCAACTGCCGAGAACCCTAGTTGCCTGGTTAGTTGATGCTTAGTTGACCTTGTTGAGGACTGGATGTTGACTACCTACTTTACTAACTTGTCATTAGCGAGCCCTGCAGGCCTGCTAGTGAACTCGTCTTCAGCATGACTTGTGGAACCGTACCATTCACAAAAATATATAGTCGAAAATCTGAGAGAGACGCGCCTGCTTTCCACTTACACGCTGGATGCCAAGATGATCCTCTGCGCCACTATGCAGGTTGCCAAATCGGGCAATTGATCCACTGCGCACTTTGGCTGCACATATCGACCAAGCGACGTCAAGTTCGTAGGTTTCTTTGGTTTCGGATTATTCCTCATTGCAATCGAGTATGTTTAAATCACCATCCAATATCTTTTGAGCCCATGTAAATTAGCTTGGTCCAGATAAAACTTCTTTCAGTTGCCGGCCGCGAGGAGCCCTTGTTGTGTGACTTGCCCGCGCAACCTACCCGTCTCGCACCTTCCCTCCTGGGCGCTCTGCTGGGCGCTCTGTACGCTTTGTCGCTTCACAACTCTGAGAAAATCTCTCGATGCTGCATACGCTCCTTTTTGCTCACTAATCAGCGGACCTGGCCTATCATGATTATCAGGTGCGGCCGACTCTTGCGGTCCCGGCCGTGCCAGAGACTCCTCCTCATCGCCGTCTTTGTTCTGACCCCTCTGATCGTATATCTGATGCTGATAACTGGCGGCAGCGGCTCAGATAATCTGCTGCGCCTGCGCCGCTACAGAGACCAGCAGCAGCAGACGCTTGCGCCTCGAATTGGCCGCTGCAGCCACGGCGAGCGCACCGCGTGGGCACGTGCCTGGAACTTGACAGAGAGAAACCACCGCGACCTCCTCGATGATCGCTTCACGTAAGCTCTGATCCTTGCCATTCCTTGTTCCGCTGCTAATGTGAAGCCAGAATCGCATTATCCACGTTTCACAGACCCAAGGAGCTCCACAACACCCTCAACATTTTGCTTGCGAACAAGATTCCGTCGCTGCTTGAGATCGTCGTCATTTGGAACAACCTTGACGAGGCTCTGCCAGCGTCATTCGTCTCACAGCACGGCGTGAATGTCCGCTACCGGAAACCAACACGAGACAGCCTCAATGAGAAGCTCTGGAACGACCCGTCGTATCGCACGCGTGCCATTCTGCTCTCTGACGACGACGTCTTTTACCGCCCAGCCGATTTGACCTTTGTCTTTGATATGTGGCGCCGTTTCGGGCGCGCACGTGTGACAGGTGCTCTCGCTCGCTGCGCGCGCGTCGATGCTGCCGGACGCTGGGAGTACAGCCAGTGTCACCCCGGCGGCAAGTATGCCCTGGTGCTGACCAACCTGGCGTTTGTGGACGTGTCGGTACTGGACGCTTACAATTCAGATTTCGACCCGGTGCAGGAGATGCGGAGATACGTGGACGAGTCCCGCAACTGCGAGGACATTGCGCTCAATTTTGTGGCAGCGGCGAGGCCGACGACGCCAGACTCAAGAGCGACGAGCGTCAGCGGACCGCTGCTGGTTCGCGGCTCGGGGCAGTATGTGAATTTAGATCCTTCTTCCGGCATTAGTCGCAGAAGAGGGCATTTAGCGACAAGAAGTGAGTGTCTGAATCGCTTCGCCAGCGCATTTGGATGCATGCCACTCGTGGATGAGGTGGCGCGAATCGAGTTCGGCGTCAAACACAACGTGTGGTACAAGACGCTCGCTGACAGGTTATTGCGCTAACTTGGGGGTGTTCTGATTCAAAGTGATACTATTCACATTGTGTGTTGACTCGTGTATGCAAGCATGTACTTGATCATTCAGCATCGGCGTCGGTCTCGGGGAACATGATTGGGGCACTAGTTGGTCGGTACACTGACACAACACAACCATTAATACTTTGTTAGATTCAATTCAATGCCGTCATTACTCATTGCAAACACGTGCAGTCCAGTCCATGCATTCTAGTTCACAAGAGACCACCACCGCCAAGAATCTGGGCCGCCCCCGTCTTGACAGCATTCATGGCCGCCAGGTACAGTGACGGCCCGACGCTGATTCTAGCCACGCCCATCTCGGCCAGCTCGGCCGTCGAGTGGCCGCCATCCCTCTTGGTCAGCAAGACGGCAACGCGCCCGTCCAGCTCGGCAACTAATCTCCGCACCTCGGCGGTACTCAGTCCACGCGCGCCGCCGCCCCAGAAGAAGACGGTTGTCGCGCCGGCCTCCAGATATGCGCGTCCGCGGTCCAGCGCCTCACGCATGCGCGTCTCGTCGTCGAGCTCTGGCGAAGCATCCAGCCTAAACGCATCGCAGCGCGCATTAATGACAAAATCCGGCACGCCGGCACCGGCCACCGCCTCCAACGCCGTCTTGATGCGCGCAACCGCGTCCTCTTTGCTATACAGCGAACCGGCAATGCCCTGACCAAAGCCGGCAGACGGGATGCTGTCTTCCAGGTTGGCGCCGGCGACGCCGTAGCGCGCGGCCGTGGAAAAGATTTCAGAGATGCGCGCGCCGTAGCCGTCTTGGAGATCGGCAGAGAGGGGCAGGCCCGCGAGGGCGGCGAGAGGCGCGAGGGCGCGCAGGGCGTCGAGGTTCTGCTCGGCAGTCAGGTCCTCGTCTTGGGCGCCGCGGGCATGTGCGAGCGCCCACGAGGCGGTGGCCAAGGCGGCGACGGGTTTGCGGGAGGGGGAGGATGGGGAGGCGGTGGTGGTGGTGTTGAGTGAGGAGACGGCTTGGAGGGACGGCGCATCCCATACGTTGGGAACGATGAGAGGCTGGCCGGGTCGGTGAAGGGCCTTGAGTGTCTTGGCAAAGTCGTTGGTGGAGGGCATGGCGGCGAGGGTAGCGTTGAATCTTGTCGTCTGGTGAGGAACCAAGCGTGCTTTATTAGGGTGAATGAGCCGTGTAGAGGAACGGTAATGGATAGAACGATGGTGATGCGGAACGGCGAGGATGATGGCGGATGGGGGTAACGGATGAAGGTTCTTTATAGCGTGCCGCCGCGTGGCCGGGGCAAGGGCGCGAGATGTCATTGTGATTTACCCGTGTCAGCTTTATTGTGCGTCCCGTTTCGGAATATGTAGCTCTTCACGCCTGGTGGTGCAGAAAAGGGTGGTTTGCGGTGACAAGGACAAATAGATGGCGTTGCTGGCGTGGGGCGCGCGCGGAGACACGTCGTGAATTACGATTCAGCTGTTGGAGTGGTAAATAGCTTGACAAACATCGAAAGCAACACCTAAATTGTGTTAATATGGCGCGATGAATAATGAGGTGACTGAAGCAAGTATCGGAAATGATAAATATCGTTACGATTGAGATGGGACTTGTAGATGCAAGAAATGTGCCAATTGAGCGTTTGTATGTACTCATGCGCGGCGGAGCCACGGCGGAGCCGAATCGAGATGCACAGGAAAAGAGGCATAAGTTGGCGCGGGGGGGGGGGGAATTGGAGTTCTCTAGATGGTCCCCGTGCCATTTTCAACATGGACGCAATAGTAGCTAATCTGAAAGATTGCAAGTGCTGTTGATTGGTTTCTTTGTCTCGGGGAAAAAAAAAAGCACAACGCACAGCTCATCGGCTCGATTGGGCTTTGCAGAGCCACCAATGCCAATATGACGATCCCCGCCTCTGCAATAGCGCCGCCGACATGGACTCGGTTCACGACGACTTATTCAGCCGATGGGCGTACCGCCGCGGGGTGGCATCTTCCACTGACTATATTTTTTTCGATGTTGGGGGAAGGGGTAGAAGGGAGGGATGTATGGGATATAATAAGTAATCTTGTCATCTTGGATTTTACGGCTCCTAGCTGTAGATGGGCAAGTCATGGTGTTTTACAACCAGGCTGCGTATCTGATGCATCAAATATACCAGAAAATATTCCTACCTACCCTCTGCTTTACCGACATCTGATCCTGACTATGTACTTGAGCAGAGGCATTGCAGACACGAGCAAAATTTGTCCATATTGGGAATGATTGAATGCACAGCTCTTTTGCCTTTCTCTTGCCCTCAGTTTCTTCATTTCGCGACAAAACCATGATGCACTCACTCGCCATGTAATCATTGAAGCCCACGGTTGTCCGGACCGGCCAATTCGCTCCGTAGTGCTGCCCCATAAACTCCGGCCCAAAGCCATGCGGGCCCCCACCATAACCTCGGTGAAGAAAGACGGCTTAGCTTTGAGTGTTGCATAAATCAGACTTTTTTCTTCCCTGCCCCTTTTTTTTTTTTTTGGAATTGAGACGGGAAACTTGTCGCGTGATGATTGAAAATTTTGACTGTTGATGCTGTGTGGTCGTGTGCGTGCCTTTGGCGACATGTATTGGGATTTCCATAAGGTATTCGGGATTTTCGAGATTCAACTGTGGCTTGCCATCTTAAGTACCAAGATACATGCTAGAGAAATGGTGGCTTAGGCGCCAGACACTGTCTGAATCTGGCATTCGGGTGGTAGCATGCACTGAAGAGCAACACAAATGCAGGGGTATTGGGCGCTGCGCCTCGAACATTTTTAGCGTTCAAGACAGACGGCCAAGTCACTTTTCGTAGGTCGATACTTGTTTAGGTAATGGCTCCGCTACCTAAAAGATTGCGTCACTGCTTGTCACTCGGCCGTTTCGAGTACTCCGTCTGTCCGTCAAGCAACTGGCACGCATTGGATCAATGGAATGGATTTATCTCTTTTTTTTTGTCCTCTGCCAGGCCGGACTTTTTAACATCATCATCACCACCCCTTGTCTCCCTTTCGTTTGTCGCATTCTCTCTCTCCCATCCTTTGATCTTTTCTCTCATATTCTGTCCATATTTATCTTATTCTCTTTTAACTTTGTTTGTGAGACGGAAAGGCCCTTTTTCTAACAACTCAGCCGCTGCACCTTGAGACTTTTGACAACTCTACCACCGCGTCCTCGCCACACGACGCTTCCCCGACGTCGGCATCCTCTTCCCCTACCTCACCAAGAAGATCTTTGACGCCGAGCAGCCCGAGCGCGCGCTCCGCCTCAACCTCCGCGCCCAGCTGCAGCTGCTCCGCGCCAACGGTATCCCTGTCGCCCGCACCCACGCCAGCGACCTCGTCGACGACAACATCGACGACAACAACGCCCACCTCGACAAGCTCGACGTCAAGATAAACAGAGATACCGCCGACGACAAGGCCATTTTCGATCGCAGCGGCACAAATCTCGTCGGCAACTGGACTTGGATCGACGTCATCGGGCTCGGCGATGCCGACGAGCAGGGGACGGGCAAGACGGCCGCCGAGCAGGTTGAGGACGGCGAGGAGCTTATGAAAGGCGAGCTCGAGCCTAGCGAGCAGCCCGTCAACGCCACGCCCGTCGCTGTCGTCGACACCGCTGCTTGACCTCTACGAGGAAGCAAGCACACATCAAGAGGAAGGATTGCTTTGGCAGCAAAACTCGACCTATTTTATACCCACTGTACATCTTGTAAGCGAATTTATTACGGAGCGGCGCATTGTATAGACTTTTAGGCATGGCATGGAAAAGACCCGTCGGGGTCCAAATAGATTAGCATACTCTTTTGTGTTTAATTTCATTTACCGGTTTTAACACTAACTCTGTCTTCTCTGTGCAAGTGTGTAAAAGCAAGTGCTCAGTCTATTGTTCAGTCTAGTTCTTAGTATCAATCTCTGTATCTGCCAAGTGAATCGTGAAATCCAAACGCCCATAGCCGTCATCGGCAATTATTATCCATACATGTCCAAGCATTCTTCATCATCTCCAATTTTTTGTTTTGTCATCCAGTATTTCCATGAAACCAAAATTCTCCGCATCACAAATCCAATCGCCTTTTTTTTTACTTCCTCTTCCTTCCTCTTTCCTCACGCCTCGAAATCCGCTTTCGTCAGAAACTCGCCTCCAAGAATGCGGCCCCAATGCGTCTTGCTAATATCCCGACAATCGCGTCGCAGCGTGCTCAGGAGCACCTTGATGCTCTGTACCGGACTCTTTGTAAATCGGGCGTTACCTCCGACGACGAAGCCGTCCGTCTCCACCTGGACGTGCCCCTCGTCAGCAGAGAGCGGTCGCCACGCGAGGCTTAGCATGTCACAGGTATCCGCGTAGTCCTGGTACGAGCCAAAGTACAGCTGGCCGGCAAACAGGTTCAGCTGCAGCCGCAGGTGACGCGACAGCTCCCAATCCTTATGCGCGGTACCCGAGACCGTGTAGAGGCGAAGCAGATCAAGCGGCTGCATGCCCAGAGTTACTCGCGGCGCGTACAGATGAAGGCGTGCGCGCGAGCCTGGCTTTGTGAGCTGAAGAATGAGATGATGCGCCTCGTACGGACTGATGATTACTGCTTTGCTGGGGTCAAGTCCGGTGAGAATCCATTGGATAGGTCTCTGGAATGAGTCTGCACTTGCACCCGACGCGCGCAGCTGAACCGTCCGTGCATAGTCCACTGTCACGAGAAGGCCGTCAGGGAACCCGCTCAGATCTACCCAGTCTGCTACACTTGTAGTTTCAAGGGCCCAAAATGCTGGGCGCAGAGCGGTCGACTTTGGTTCGATTCGTCCTGTAGTGGCAATCTCCTTCAGGTCTTCGTGCAGCTCGTGCTCGGCGGGTGACATGGCCGGTGGTCGCTCAATTTGGCGCTCTTGCTCGATTTCGGGCGCCAGCTCTTTCTCCTGCTCCTCCTGTAACGCTGCCGACCTGAAATGGGAGATGCCAAACTCGTCACAGCGGTTCTTGATAGAGTGTAGTGGAGAGTCTTCGCTTTCTTGAAGAGTTAGGTTTGCAAATGAAGACAACGTGGCGTCGGTCTCGGCAGTCTGAGAAGCTGGTCGATAGCGTTTCTCGATCGTTTGCGCCTCTTCTTCTAGAAAAGCTTCTGCCTGCTCCTTAGACAAGGCTATGCCATCTTCTGTGGTAACATTATCCCATGTCGTTTTCTGATTATAGAACCGGGCTCCTTGGATCGCCCAGAGCGGCATCAGTCGTCGCAAATCGGCGTGAGTCTCGGTAATGGCCCACATCAACACATCGTCGACTCCAACGTCGCTGTCGGATGGTTTACTTGTGGCCATGTGAATACGAGATTGCATCTCTCTGGAAACACAAAACACGACCGACTGACCATGGCCCAATTTTCGCATACGCATGCAAGCTGTAAATTTAGTTAGCGTTCTCATTGTTACCATTGTCGACGACGGGATGTCGCGACTTACCTTGCACGAGCCTGTCCTTCGTGATGTCGGGGCCCAATGTCACCGCAGCTCGATAGTGCTCTGGGAGTCTTAAATCGGTTCCTCGCGTATGTGCTTGGTCAAGGAATACCAGACAACGATCCAGCTGCTCAGCATACGGCGAGGTCTGTAGTCTCTCCACGACGCCCTTCCGATCCATGACGCAAATGTCATCATCATCATCGAAAAACACAACAGCTTCCTGGATTTGCTTCACAGGAAGAAGCTCCAGCCATTTTTTAGCCACTTGAATATTTGTGAGCTCTAGCACCTGAGCGCCAACATCTAGAATGACGTGAACTTCGTTTTCTTTGCTTGCAGCGAATTCAAGCAGCAACTCCGTGTCGGTACCCTCAATTTTAGCAGAAGACTTGAGCAAATGTACCTTATTCTCCTGTCTCAAAAGATTCTCAAGGACAAGAGAATTGGTATGCAGTTGCTCTTCAAGGTCGAGCTGCTTCACTTCGAGAGGTAGGACGTGGCGCGAGTCATTTGTACCACTGAAACCAGTTGTCGCATGACATTTCTGGGCGCCAAGGTCCCAACCCGAAGACGAGAGCTTGTGTGAAAACTCTTTCATCTCTTTTGGGAAGACCATGTGAGACAAATAGTAGTCCACCACGCTCTTTGCTTGTCGTAAGTGAGGAAAGACTTCTCTGGTGATCTGGCCCACGTCTTTGAGATTGACTCCGGTCAAGCGGTGGAAAGAACTCGGAAGTTTAGGCGCGTCTGCGACCCATTCCTCATACTCTGTCTCTGACTGGTCAGACCTCATCAAATGTGCAAAGGCCGAAAACAGCGCTTCGTCTGTCAAGCCCTCGTAGTAATAGCTCAGGCAAGTCAACAGAATAACCACATCTGGGTGACTAAACTCAGCTCGCGTCGACGGGCTATCCTTTGCTCGATACGGTACCGCGAGTTTCGTGTTAGGTGTTCGGTCTGGATCAAGGCCGTAATTTACTCTCCATCGTTTCTGACGGAGTGCAAAAGAGAGCACTCTACCTGCGATAAGGCCTCGCAGCAAGAGCAACGGACCCTTGATAGAGTCGGCAAAGAACCCATCATTCTTTTCCACGAGAGCAACTTGATTCATGGACACATCTTCTTCAAGAATATACTCATAGATGGCCTGTCTCATTTTATCACTTTGTCGTCCGATGGGTAAGCCCGGAAGTCCTGTGTCACAAATCTTTTGCGTAATTCTGCGGAGGAGCTGTGCTCCAGCTTCAGCGCGGAGAATGCGTGTCCTTGGGAAGCGACCACGTCGATTGTGCGAAATCTCCATACCCTCAGGCATATCTTGACGCACCGATGGTGCGACGTTGACGACGACATCAAGAAGGCGCTGCAAAAAAGTCCAGCGCTCAGGATTGAGCTCAATGGGACGCTGTTCTCCCATTGTGTAGATGAGCTCGAACTTGGGACTGAAGTTTTCGTCGCTTTCGTCTACAATATCGCGGGAGTTTGTCTGAAAGAAATGATGTAAACGAACAAGAGCTGTGCCTGCCCGTTCTTGGTTAGGCATTGTCTGGTACTCGACGGCCATGAGCTTGAACGATAGCATATGCTCTGGTTGCACAAGCAAAACGCCACCTTGTTTCATGCACTTTTGATAGAGACGGTACAAACTCTTAACTTCAATTTCTTTGAGTCTGAGTGAGCGGTTGAAAGGCATCTGAAAAATTCGACGATTAAGAAGCCCGCTAAGCTTCGAGATCAGTGTTCGTCGCAGCTCCTTGGCCTGTGGTTTTCCAACAACAACGCGCACAAGCCTGGAGCCATCCGCTAGGTGCGCAGCGACGATGGGCACAATGACAGATGACTTTCCCTCACCCATGTTTAGCTGCATTACCGCATTTTTTTCGGCCGCAGGGCTTCTCATCTCGGACGCAATGTGCTCTTGAACTTCGCGAATCAAGATACCACTCTCAATCTCCAGCAATAAGCTTTCCGGGCTATCTGTTGGCTTCCAATTTGTATGCCCGACATTAAGCAATTCTTTGACAAGATCTGAAGAGGATTTAGCCTGAAGCAGTCTCTCTGCCCTCTGCAACTTCGTCAGTGCCACTCCAAACAGCACAAGGGAGTCCTTCCACTCTTCAGACAGCGAATCCCATTGGCCTCGGACAAGATTGCCAAGCAAAACGGAGCAAGAGGTGCGAGGAGCCATGAACGTGGCCGCAATTTGCCACTCCTCATCGGTCAATCCAGATGGTCTTTCACAGAGACCCAGCTGGAGACCTTTTGTGATGGCAGTCTCTAACGCGGTGCGAACTCTATCCACGTTGGCTTGACAGTTGTGGCAATGATTTGCAAGCACGTCGCGTAGCTCTTTCCCCTCGATCATCAATGCTTGTGGTGGCTGTACTTGCTTCAGAGCATTTAAGCTTCTCTCCAATTCTTCGACATATATGCGTTGGCTTGGGTGCTCGGATGAAGAAGTTTCCCTCAGCCTCTCCAGAAGCAAAGGCAATCTGGGAGAAGCTGAAACGTGTGCTGTGCTCAGTTGGCACACATCCAGCTCTGTTTGTTCAAGTCGAGGCATCAAAGGGATGGAGAAAGCAAACATGGCCCGAACGCTGATCAATGACTTTTGCATCTGTGGCCTCAGAACCGATCTTCCAGCCGCCAATTCCGACAGGGGACGAGCCGCCACGACTGTAAGTGAATCCAGCTTCGCTTTGAGACCGAGTAGATATTGGTAGAAAAGATGGTTTTGATACCACTTATCCCACATCTGGAAGACCCTTACCATCGAATTAGACGAGTCCAGATGCGAGCTGTTGTCGGAAGGCGCCTCTGGCCTTCTAGAAATCCATTGTTGATGAACATGTTCGACAAATGCATCGACAGCCTTATTCTGGCTGCACTCAAACGCAATTCTTCGTCTTTCGAGGAACTCAGTGTCGGTCTCGTTTTCATTCCGAGTCCAATCGTATTCGGGGCTTTTGTCGAATGAGACGACGTGTGCTCTAGCGCCTGCCTCAATCTCAGATCGCTTGGCGTCGTAGCCCTCAGTGAGCCAGTATTGACTAGCGCTTGGTATTTCTACATTGAATATAATCGGAGTTTTAAAGAATGCTGCAATGCACTGTATCGACTGCAGCTTTGTCGTTGACGAGTATCCCATTGTACAGAGGCACATCATAACTTGGAATTGGTTGAGAGGCGACGATGATGCGAGGAGCAATCGATGAAGCTGACACCAGAACTTTTGAAGGAGAGTATCCTGGTCCTGTAGCCATTGGGAGTCATAGCATATATCTCGCGTCGACAGATCTCCAATTGAACCGCAGGCGACACTCGAAAGAGACGACCATAGTTTTGACACCAGCTCGGGATCAACCGTTTCAACCAGATTAGCCCCGTCTCGCACAATCATTTTGGCAATCTGAAAGGCTTTTGTGGAAAGTCCGGAGTGATGCATCGTGTCTCGGCTCCTGTATACTGCATCTTGGCTGGTAGTGTGATTTTCTCCGCCGAATCCATCCACCTGAAAGCTTGCTGCTCTAATGGAACAACGTTCTCCTAGAGCATCATTGACGTGATCGAGACGCGGCAATTCATTAGACTCAGCAGGGTAGAATACCTTGATATCGCGGGCTTCTTCAAAAATCTCTTTCACCAAGGAGTGGAGTGCATTGTCCTGCGACAAGAAACTGAGGCGCGTGTCCCACTCGATGTTCTCCATGCATTGAAGGTTTTTGGGGTAGTATTGCCTGGTTGGGGATAAGCGCGCGATCTTGGTGAGTTTCAAAATTTCATCATCTTTCAGATGATCGAAAGATCGAAGAGAGGCTGAGCGAAGAATGGATAGGGCCTGTTCCGTCCCTGTCTTCCCAGTGAGTTCGTCCGGCAAGCAATACGAGGTTAGAGCATGAAGGTAGCAGATGGCTAGCTTACTCTGCATACTGCCATTGTCCACTAGTCTTTGCAAGCGAGTATCAACCTCGTAAGCATGGGCCTTCTTGGATGTCCCATGCGGGATTGACACTCGAACGTGATTCGCCGACGCCCATGACCAAGTTGGCTCACCATCAGGTATCAAGACCTTGCGACGGTTATTTTCGTTTCTCAAGATCAATTTGCTTTCCAATCCCACAAGTGTACCGATTCCCTGATCAGAATCAACGTACATGCCTCGAAATTGGCGAGAGCAAAGCTTCGAGGCACCCGTTTCTGCAAAAAAATCAAGCTGAAGTCTTGGCAGCTCAACTGTTATCTGTTCCGTGATCTTGTCAAAAGAAGCGTGAATATAATCCTTATTTTCGACTGGATTCAGCAGTTCTGCCAAGTACCGGACGGTAGAGCTCTCCATACCCAGCAAGATGTGCTGCTCCTGCCGTTCAAGGACCCATCCCTGTTCAGAGCTTGTCATGATCCAATTCTGACTTGTCAATGGCTTCCACGGATCCTTTTTATCCCTAAATTCCACGGTTTGAGAGCTTCTGTTATACCAATGAATGTACCTGTTGGCAAAATAATGTGGCAAATTGTTTGCAAATACTCTCGAGGGAACCAAGTCGTAAATCTGCGTACCCGATCTGGCCACAAGAAGGAGATCAGGGGACGCCTGATCAGTCATACCGAAAAACAATGTATAGCCGTGGTAAGACTTCTTAGATGACAGGCTCATTCCAGGAAAATCTGCAGGTAGAACCTCGAGTGTCGTCTTACCAAAAAGATCGGCGTACATTGAATGTTGCTCATATTGGGCAGGCAGTCGTGACAAGGGATTGCCGTTCACTAGTAGCTCTCCAGTCAAGAGATTGAACTGAATATGAAGTAACAGATTTGTCTCTGCGGCAGGGATGGCAGTGATCAACCAGTGTCCGTATGGGGGTGACGCAGCCTTCCAAGTCGCCCCGCCAGGATACGCTGACCAAGTTTGTTGAAGCGCCAAATCTAGACAAGGGCTACTTTTCTCAATGATCTCATCCTTTAAGAACCTGAAAGCTTTGAAGAGAATTCTTTCACATCGGAGCCTGGAAATCAGTCGCCGGCCTTCGACGCCACGCGATACATCATGTGCCGTGATAGAAGCCTCAAGCAAAACAGCTGCATGATTCACGGATCCAAGAATTTTCTGCAGATATATCTCATCAACATCGAAAGTTTCGATACATATTTGCGCCACCTGTAAAGTGTTGTCGAGGAACTCTGCGCGTGTGCTCTCGGTCTCGGACTGCTTTACTTTGTCTTGTAAGAGGGTCATCCAGCTTGAAACGACAGAGCGACACTCTTCTAAGAACTGCAGACATCTTCTTGGAGCTTCGGCCTTAGTCGCAAAAGACAGAAGCTTAGAAGTCAGAGCAATATAGCCGCTCACGGCGTGGTACGACTCCCAGTTCTCTCTTACTTTGTCGAGAGCGCCTCCGAGGCCATCCACACATGCAAGTGTGAAATCTTCACGAATAATGAATCGATGTCCGGCTCGATATACAGTCCCATTAGGAGGTCCCGCTTGCCCCCTAATCTGTAAAAGTATCAAAAGCACGTCGTGGTTGGCAAAATTGACCGTCGGCATATGGAGCTGCGTGAGGACGTTCAACCACTGGACTCTGTAGCCGCAAGGCAACGCCGCCATGGCCTTGAATTCTTCTAAAGATAGATGTTCAGGGCACACTGATTGCTCGGAAATGACGTGATTTGCAGTCTTGCCATTCGGCCGCAGATGCGGCCGAAACAAAAACTGTTGCAGACTGTTGCATGGCCCGGAGAGTTTGTAGGTGCAATCTTCCGCTATTCGGTCGTTTTGCTGGAAAGAGGTTGACCATTTATTCAAGTGGCAGTCAAAGTAATGAAACTGCAGTCCATTTTTGACAAGTACGTCGTCTTCCGATGCAGTTGAGAGATATTTCAGTTTTCGATGGGTCCTGCTATTGGACTTGGTTGTCGAAGCCAGCACAAAGCGAGGCAAAGTTGGGGGTAGCCAGTACTTGGGCAAGAAGGAAGACAAAAAGTCCTCACGGCCATTTTCCTTGGTGGCGCGTCTTGTAGACTTCAAGACCTGAGAGACGATATAAGCTGTCGTGTCTCGCCAAGCACTAATCACCTGGGGCACTTGTAATTCAAAGACCACATTTTGAGCTGCAGAAAGATTACAAGGGAGCGGCCATTCATGCACTTGGATGCCGATATTGCTAGCCTGCTTTTCATGGTAGCAGCGCTTGCATTCTCGATCGTGAACTTGGCGTGAGTACCCTGTCCTCCAATTGACATGTTCGAAGAACTCATGCTGCAATTCACCTGCTTTTTTTTGTGTGTGACCGATAACTGTCAAGCTTGTCGCGGAACTCTTGTCGTTTGCTCTCTCTTTGGGTCTCCGCCCAATCCTCGATTCTCTTCTTTAGAGCCTGATGTTCAGCCGACAGGTGAAAGAATTGGACCGCCAACGAATTTTCGTCTCCAAAACTCGAGAAAATAGAAGGACTATGCTGCGGAACGCGATGCTTGCGTGTTTCAAAGTACTTCTCAATATGACGAAGGCGTTCCATGTCTTTTTTGAACGGCAGTATGAGTGACTGGAGCACTTCGCCAGGGATTTCATGATTGAAGTTCCGCAGCAAATCATGAGTCTGGCAAGCTGACTTGTCGCATGCCACCCAAAGCTCCATGATTGTCAACAGCATCAAAGATGTAGCTTCAGGGCTGCCAGAATATCGCTCAAGGGCACTCTTGTGGTAGTTTTTGACCGCTTGCAGTAGTTTTCCGGGTGTATCTCCTGACCCAATGTTGGCAGCGAGCCAATGGTCCAAAGACGCAGCAACCCAGCTCTCAAATGCCAGAAGCTCAACAGCAGCACTCTCATCTTCTTGAACAAACACGGTCTTGGGGAAGGTCGAGCTATTGTACTCCGGCACCGACCAGGACGGGCTAAAGCCTCTGTTGACTGGTTTAGGCTTGCGTGAATCAATAGACTGGATGAAACTATCCAAACCCGGACACAGGGTGTATATGTCTTTGGGAAAATACGCTTTAGTATCGCAAAGCGACAGAGTTTTATCCAATGCTTGTCTGGTTGTCTGCCACGACGCCTTCATGCAGGAAACAGCGCTTGCCATTGTCGTTCCCACCCCACCAAGGAGACACTTCGGTGCATTCTCACCAAGTTTCCTCAGTCGGCCGGACAATTTTGCCACCATGCAATAAAGAGTCTCAGATTGCATGTTGAAAGAGACTGCACCCTCCAAGAGCAAAGACATGAAGAAGACCATGAATTGCTTATAGACGTGTGGCTCCGCGACGCGGTCAAAAATGGTTTGAATGGTTATTCGAGCAAGGAGCCAAACTGATGACCGTCTCCAGGGCATAGTAGAACTTTTCCAGCTAACTTGTTCTCTTGTATTTTTTTCGAGGATTGGAACTTGGGCAAGTTCGCCGAGTGCACTGAGAACAGTGGCAAGAAAATCGGTGACAATAGCGGGATTCGTAGTATCACGCTCCTCGATATGGCTTTCGCCAGACTTTCGAACTGTCGGTTTCATAGCCTTGACTTGCTGAAAACTCATTTTGGCAACGGTTTCAGCCATAGAGAGATGAAGATCAGAGTTGGCAAACGTTGTCACTGGAATCGATACAGCCGAGCCAGGAAAATGTCGCTTAAGTCGCCCTTTCGTTCGCATTGCAGCTTCGTTCTCGGGTGCAAGCTCGGAGAATTCGAGAAGGATCTCCGACTTGTCGCGACTGGCAATGATTGCTGCATTTTGTGCTTGCACATGAATTGGAAACATGCCACCTGGGATCGAATCAGCCTTGGTCGGTCCAGTCTATGATTGAAATAAGTACCTTCTTTTGAAAGCGTCTCAAAAGCTTTTTGTAGCTTTTGGGCATCAAGATCTCCCGATGAAATCTTCGAATCCCGAAGAAATTGAATGGCTTCCCGCGCGCGCTGCACAGCGCCATTGCCGTTGAGCACTTCGAGGTTGCTGAAATCGCGCAGAGCCTGACAGACATAATTCAAAAGAGCCACTTCGCTGGCAAGAGCAATCTCTATATCGTCGCCACTCTGCGGGTTTCCAGGAGTGAGGAAAACATGGTGTATGATGAGCTGAAGCTCAGCCACGGACACGCCTGTTGCGGTTGGCATCTTGGCGATGAATTGCACCTTGCAAGACTGCAGTTTCCAATGAATCTTGTAGTTTAAATGTCAGAAATTGGTGCAAATTCTGCCTTCTTGCAAAAATTACCTTCTCAGAGGAGCTGATGAGTAGTGGTAGGCCCCCATATGCGCGCTGTACGCATGCAGCCTGGTGTGCTTTCAAGAGATTCCTGGATAAACGAGTGATTGCAATTTTAAAAGCTCAAACGAGGTTCCATCTGCAAAGCTATTTCAAGCGAAAATAAGAGCGAAGATCTTGTTTCTTGGCGGTGTTGGGATTTGGCAGATTTGAACAGCTCTTCGTTTGCTGAATGGGAGTTGTTGACCACTCAATTTGGCTCGCACTGCCAGCTGCGTTTGCACCATCAGCGCACCTGTCACCACTTCTGCCTAATTTCACAGGGTATTCAAAGCTTTGCATACTATTGGCCTCGTAGCGGTCAGACTTTGGCATGTCGAGGCGGAAAGAAACGAGAGGTGAATAGGTATGCAATAGGAATTGACTGTTGGCCACTGTACAGACAGCTTTGATCGCCGATCTGTTTTGCAACAAGATGCTTCTGGTGATGCGACAACGTGGGTCCGTTCATGGCCGGATAGAAATATTTCAAACAGAAAGGAGGCAGAGTACCTAGATTCCATATCTCAGGGAGCAACTCAAATCTTATATAAGTCTCGTATGCAATGATTACTCTTCATCAGAGTCGCCATCATAGAAAAAAATCCAGAGCATGTAGACCTCCGTCAAGCCTAGACCAACGCCATTTCGGCTGGCTACAGCATCAAACACAACCTTTTAAAGCCTCTTGATCCCTTTTATTTTTTCGACAAATCATTGATTTACTAGTACCATCTCCCAAGTTTACGACATTAACAACAGGGAGACTCAAGCTGGCGTCAGGATTTCATCAACACCAGTCCTACACCAGTATAAGTCGACTGCCGAATCACACCCAGCACTTAAGCAAAACGTCTTTTTCATTTGACTCCATAGTAAATCACTACAGTTTCCAAACCAACCACACACATCTTTTGTCTAATTCATTAGCCTTAACAGCGACGCCGAGATTTTCTTCCCTCCCTTTCTTTTTTCCAATTTGCCCTAATCCTGTATTCAGCGGTGCGCCGCCGCATCGTGCTGCAGCCTCTGCGCCTTGGCCCGCAGCATAAACGGCAGAAACGCATCCATCGTCTCCTGCACGCTCATTCTATCCCATCTAATCATAGCGTGTACCCGCTCGGCGTCATACCAGCACCCGGCGCGGCTTGATCTGGGCGGATCGCCGCGCAGCTCCATGAAGAAGCGGCCGACCAGGCGGTAGTGCGCGTGCGCCGTCTCGTCGGTAGCGGGCACTTCCTCCCAACGGGTGTCGTACGCGGGCCCGCCCGTCTCGCGGTCCTGCAGCGGCAGGTACGGGTTCGACACGCCGTAGCTGCGGTAGTGGTCATCGGTGTAATAGCAGTCGATGAGCCACCGGCCGAGGTAGGTGGCGTCGTCCTCGGACGGCGGCGTGTCGGGCGGGCCTTGTACCGCGAGAAACCAGCGCATGTACGAGGCGCTCGCGGCCAGAGGGTCGAAGCAGAACAAATGTTCAACAGTCGACGCCGCGGGCGGCTCGGCCGGCTTGTAGACATAGGCGGAAGGGGACGACGTTGGCAAGGTCGGCGAGTGCGGGCACGATGTCACAGCGGCTTCGGGGGCCACGATTTGTTGCGGGATGAAGATTGTACAGGTGCGCCAATGGTGTGGGCGAGGTTTGGACGGGTTCGGGCACCAGCAACCAGTGTTTGTTAGACCTTTGGCCGGCGCAAGGTGGACGAGGTGGGCGCTGGAGGTGCATGCGGGTGTAGTAGTCGTCTTTGTGACACTCTGCGGCTGGGAAGTCGAGTCTGAACCTTGCGAGGCCTGCGTGCTCATGTAAGAGGATCCGAGAGCCGTGGACAGAATGCTAGCAACGTAAGCGCAAAAGCCATTGTGAATGTCGAGGAGGATGGGATCAACAGGCTGCGGCCCGGCCCGGCCACGTCTAGCGCGGCGCTGGATGCGGAATAGAAGGGTTGGATCCATGATTTAATTTCGTGACGAGTATGATAATTAAATTGTTATAGATGGTCAGGACAACTTGAGTAACATTAAAACTCGTGGAAGTGCACTTGCAATGGAAGTGATGCTATGCGGGAAGGGTTTCGAGTCTAGCATGCAGTAGCCACATGCTTTATATATCGAGCGGCACCGATGCATATGCATCATGATCCGATCAGCCCTTCATGCTATATTGTTTCGTCTCAAAAGGGTACTTTCTGCGAATTGGTTTCCTCTTCATACGTACTCGGCAGCGCTTTATAAATCAATGAGTGACCGATGCTGCTGTATTCGAAAAGCTAGCCCGTAAGCGAGAAACACAACATCTTTGTATTCCATTAGACGAGGTCGGCAAACAGAGGGCAATTATTTGCTACACGAAGAGTACAGACCAGCAAGACATCGCCACCGGGACCGTCGTACTCGCAACCTCTCGCTCCGGAGAGACTCAGGCCGACTCGGCCTCGTGTGGATCGCGCTACGATGAACTAGCGCGTGTGATTGAGGCATCATGATGCAAAAGATCCTATAGCGGTTATTGCCAATGGTCTTGTTGAAGCGAATAAAGCCGGTCAGGGAACCGATGTCTTAGGATGGTGGCGGAGACGTGCCCTGCGATAACGCAGAAAGACCCTTTTGGCAGGTTCAAGACCAATCGGCAGTAACGAGTGCTTCTGCCGGTAATTTTAGGAACCAAGCAGAGAGACACTCGTGTTACACCGAGGAGCGCCCAGTACTTGATAGATGGATGTATAAACATTCGCCTGTCCGTACTTTCAACCGCCATGGGCGTGCACTTCCAGCTTGATGACTTGTAGATCTCTACAAGAGCCCTGAATAGGTTACAGATATTCGTAAAATTATACTAATAGCGGCAGGCAAGGACCGGTGGGCTGTTTCCGCGTGACTTGAGCGGCCCTTGTCGTGGCGCTGGCGCGCAGCGCAAAATCGAGTCGTTCTCATCGTCCCACATCTCCTAGCCTGTTTCCTGGAGAGACAAAATGAGTTGCCAAGCAAGCTTGCCCGCCGGCAAGACTTTGAGTCGGCAAAAGCACGCATAAGGCGCACGACAGGCCAGGGTATGGGGGTCAATGGCTGCGTTGGCGTTACAGTACCGTCATTCATACCGAGGGCGGATTGCTTCTCTTTTTTTCAAGATTTTCTGCAGAATCAGATACACGCCGTAGTATGCATGTATCTGGATCGAATTGTGTTGCACCGCATTGGGCATCACCACCTTGCGTTGTTTCCTCCACATCGTCTTCAGAGGCAACACTGGGTGGTGCTCGCACAGGCTGTAGGTTATGTAAACAGGGTAACTCTGAGTGTGCCGGGCTACACAGATTCGGAGTTTTCTGTGGCTACCATTCTTCAGTGACTACTTGAAGGGTTTACGTAGCGTTTTTTTCCAAGGCTCTTGCCCGTTTCGCGAAGCCGACCCGAGGTATGTCGCACAGCTTCTATTTTGGATGATAGGCTTGTTAAGCAGCGACAGTGTTTGTGACTTGACCCGAAAAATCGGTCGTAAAGACCGACGGAATTAACGATGGTGGACCTTGTCTTGAGTTGATGTGCCAGCCCCCAACCAAACAGAAAAAGACATGCATTCATCAGCAGCAGTCATTGAATGTTACACTTGAGTGCGGTGAAACTCAGTTGGGTGGTCATGACTCGTTTCCATTGACTCAACCTGAAAGCAGTCCGAATGGGTAACAATCAAGCAGGCGCCGGCAGAAACGCATCGTGTCCGGTTTCAAAGGCACGGACGGGGTTTGAGGAGCAGACGTAGCGATTTGCGAGTAATCGGTGGCCGGCACAGGGTTTGATCTGATGTTTGGTGAAACCGGACGAGGAGCAGAACGTCGGGGCTGTCTTACTCCACCCTTTAGTAGCAGGAAGTCGTTTTGTAGCAAATCTCAGGATACTCTTTCTTTGAAAAAGTTTCGGCTTGGTGGTAGGTTGCAGGTTTGCTAATCGTCCGTTTGTTGGTGCGGCTCTCTCACCGAGGGTGGATAGCTTGGCCCATGTGTGCCAACAAAAGCGACAAGTTCTTACGGACACACCGCGTTCATGCGAGGAAAAGAAAATCTTGCGTAGCCGCCATGTGTACCTTGTGTCAATTGTAGCGCAGCAGTTAGGGTAACCGCATGGCAAAGTCGTACGGAAACATTTTAGGCGCCGGCATCTAATCTGTACTGGGTATGGTGGAATTGTGCTAAAATTATGCAGAAGATGAGCGTGGCGTGGCGTGCGCAAGGGATGGCGCGCTGGGTGGTGGCTGGCCAACCGACCTTGGTTCGCATTTTGGGGATGGGGAAAGTGATCTTGTCTATCTCTGTTTTTCTTCTCCTCCTCTTCTGTCTCTTCATTCTTTGAGGATTGCATTTTGCGTTGTTGATAGATGACGTCGATTGCGTTTCAGGGTATCGGAACGCCGGCAGCAGTGGTGAGAGCCGCATGAAGATACCGTGGCGCTGAAGAGTCGATGGAACAAATCAACTGAAAGATGATATGGCACAATCGGGTACACGGAAGTAACGTTAGCAGAATTTCCGAAGAACCGAGGGCAAAGTTCAAACACGTTTCGTCAGGTTGGATCCGGTTCCTGGCTGGACGGTGGCAGATGGGGCTGTGTGCGAGACGTCAAACGAAACATGGCAGAAGGGAAGAGGGCTGCATCAACGAATCAGGGCTTGGGCAATTGCCAACACGGTTAACACAGTTATTGTGCTGGTGATACTGTTATTATTGTATTACCCCGAGTGGCTCGTAGAGCCTTCGGTCCTTCTATGGTGTATGGACTACTAAGATACAGGGGAAAACCCTAGGGTGAAAAACCCCTATACCCTTCTGCCTCTCTCTGCGCCTCTATCTCTATGGGTTGCTGCTTGTGGGTTCCTTCTAACAATCTCGGAGAAGTGCTAAAAACGCCACCGTAGGTGGAAGTCCTCTCGTAGACTGAACGCTACCGTAGATAATGTGACGTTTTCTGGGGGTCAATCTCGCTGCCGTCAACGTGGCAGATCACGCCCCTACTGACGCAAGGAGGACTGCGCTACCGTAAATACGCGGTAGAACCGGGTTTGCTGGTGATAACTGGGTATGGTGCGTTTGTGTTGTATCCCTGTCAGGTAGCTCTCTCCCCCAGCAAAAATTAATTCCTGTCCGATGAAAAACATCTTCGCCCTGTAGGAGACTGATAATAACTAGGCTGTGGGTACGGCTTACATATGACCGTAGGAGAGTTGGTGTCAAGGGTCCGAGGGAAGGCCGTGCGCGAAAGCCTTCTGGAGCCTGCCAGAGCATCTAATTTTGCGGCTTGATGCCAAGTGCCAAGCCTGAGATGAGATCACAGTTATACAGACTGGGTATGGTGGCGTTTGAATGTTTTCGGAGAGAGGCCCATACAATGATGAGTAGGGCTACTGAGTAATATCGGCATATAATGACAGCCGATTGTGCATTCGTACTGGGAGAAGACACTTGACACGGTGACGAACTACGAATAGACATGATCCATGGTATGTGAGACAGCAGCAGGGCAAAGCCAGCAATTAGCCCAATGAGTCTTTGTCAGACTGCCCCCCTGCTGGGCTGCACAACACATGTCCGACCCCTGACCGTGTAAGAGAGTGATAGCGTAATTGGGCTGTGTAGGCTGGCGAGTTTTGGATCGGGTGTGCAGGGCGGATAGACCGGCAGCAATGGCGGGACGGCATTGGAGACGTTAAAGAAGCTGGAGCAATGGAATCAAGAAGAGAAGCGATGAACTTTGACACCATTCGGAGAGGCGTGACTTGCGCCATGTTTAGTCTCGAAATATTAGCTCGCCTGAGACAGGTAGAAAAGCCTAGAGAGAAAAAAAGAATCAGCAAGATTGACACGTGGAAAGATGAATTCGGATGCAGGAGATGTCTTTGTTCCGTCCGAGTCGTCGCGTCAATGCCTCGTGTGGCTTGCAGCATTAATTTTTTTTTTGTAAACAAAAGAACTGATGAATGGATTGAGTACGAACCTAAGAGTCGTGAAGCGCTGGGCGAAAAAGCATATGGTTGGCTCTAGACCCCTGCGTGCACACAGCCGGCCCCCCCTGGTTCGGCAAGTCTCCACTGGGCAAAAGCCAACTTGCTGTGTTAATTATTTTAGGGCAAAGCGAGTAGGACACAAGTGGTACAGTGTTGTGATGGGTACCCATATCTAATGTGATAGCGTAATACTTGATAGAATGGTGATGTAGGACCAACCTCGGGTACTCTAGCAAGTGAAAGGAGTTGAGCCTTTGACACTGTAGCTTCGGGAGAAAAGAACACTGGAAATAGGGCAAACAGCAATTGCGTTGCTGTATCCGTATTAGGTACGGGATACAGTGATACTACAAGGCCAAACGGGGTGACGGGGTCAAACGGGCTCCACCCCCACTCACACCCTGTGGCAGCCACTGGCTGGTTGGCTGGCACGGCTGGCACGGCTGGCTGGCTGGCTGGGCTGCCTTGCTGTCGATCACCAGTAAAGCTAGGTGTGGCTTATGAAAGTTTCCCTTGTCCTCCGCAAAACGTTTGCAGCCAGCATCCCAGAAAGGGTAGGTAGTCACCTGTAACTAATCTCAATTCTCTGCCACTGCCGTCGAGTCACTTTCCGTCTGTTTGCTGCGGTCCTCCTCCTCATCTTACTCCCACCACCCGTCCTGCATCACGTCTGCTATTTAACTCCCCCCCCCCCCTTTCACCTAATTTTCCTTTCTTTTTTTCCCCTTGTTCCCCCATCAGAATTCTCTCTCGTCATTTATATGCATTATTCGCGCGCGAAAAATTACATAATTCTTGCTCATTTAACTACCACCCAGCCTGAATCCGCTTCTCACCATCTGCACTTACCCGTTTGTGCCTCGACACTTCAACAGCGTACTCGCAGCGTCAACTCCGTCCCGCGATACATCATGTTCGCCAAGACTCTGCTGGCTTCGGCTGCCCTCATCGGCAACGTCGCCGCTTATGAGGACGCCAAGATTGTTAGCAACAACCCCCACGGTGTTACATATGCCGGCATCCTCCCCACAGAGCCCTTCTTCAAGGGCGCCAACCTCGATGGCAATGTCGTCGGATCCATATCTGCCACTGCTGCCGACGATGGTGTTGGTACAAAGTTTACCGTCGAGTTCTCCAACTTTCCCAAATCTGGAGGTCCCTTCAGTATGTCCGCTTGTCCTATACTCGCCTCTTGATGCTAACCTTACAGTCTACCACATCCACGTCAAGCCTGCTATCGGCGGCAACTGTACTGCGACTCTCGGCCACCTCGATCCCACCAAACGTGGCGACCAGCCCCCTTGTGTTGCCTCCACACCCTCGCAATGCCAAGTCGGCGACCTCAGCGGCAAGTACGGCAATATCACCTCGGATCCGTTCATCACCGAGTTCACCGACCCTTTCACTTCGCTCCAGCCTGGCGCTGAGGCCTTCTTTGGCGACCGTTCCTTTGTCATTCACTACGCCAACACCACCCGCCTCACTTGCGCCGACTTCCAGAAGGTTGAGTCTTCGACCGCTCCCGAGTGTGATGGTGACCACCCCCGGCCCACCGGCGGCTACGTCTCCCCTACGGCTTCCGGTGTTCCCACTGTCGGCAGCCCCGTCCCTACGGTCCCTGTTGTTGCTGGCGCCTCCAAAGTCGCCGTTGCCGTTGCCGCTCCTCTTCTCGCCCTTGGCGCCGCTGCCATGTTGCACTAATCGAGTCTCGCCCACTTGTTGTATTGAATTGGTTTGAAATACTGGCGTTTGGGATATCGGCACTGCCGCGCGTGATGCGTGGTGCGTAATAAGCCACTTTGAGATAAATATATGACTGTTCAGTACATTAATAATAATAGGAATATGCGATTGATCGCTTCTATCATTACAACTGTGTCCACTTGCTCTCCAAAAAGTCAATGCGCTGTAAAACGGACTGGGGCCTTCACAAATACAGCATTGCCAAGCCGAATCATGTCGGGAATGGTGCGAAATATTTATAAATAGCTCTCGGCCGAGTTAACATCCGGCCTGCCCAAAAGTTGAGCCTATCTCGGTTGGGCGGCCCTGCGGTCCCGTTGACAATGACAGCGTTGATGCCTTGACCCCGACGTGGCGTCCACATCCGAGACCGCCAAGACACGCAGGCACAACAACTTTAGGGGGCATGGGCATGGCTCCGATTCCAACAGAGAGCCTTGTTTCTCTTGTCTTTCTTTTCATCCATTCGATTGCTATTTCTTCGACGCCACAGCGCAGCCTGAAGCGACGACCCAAGCAAGCCCAAAGTCTGCCCCGTTACGCCACAACAGCTCGCTGGTAGTACTGCTTTACCTCCTTGGGGCGCATGCAAGGTTTAAATATCTTGTACATAACGTGGCCAGTTCATGGAGCCACGCTTTCAGGACAGAGAAATAGGGCAAGCACCCGGGGTAAGAGATGCCTCGGCAGACACTGCTGGTATAACCTGTATCATGAGTCATGTGAGGGGAGACATCCTCTCGTCGAAAAGCGCAGTCTCAGACATGCGGGCAGGTGTAGTAATATGTATTGACTATAGTGACTCTGTAGGGACGGAGACATCCCCTACTGGTGGGCGCGCGACGCGGGAAGTATTGTTCAGCTGCTCCTACACTCAATATTCTGGAATTGGGCATGCGTCAGGCGGAGGACGGCCATCGACTACCTACCAGGCCAAGAGTTCCTGACGTATCAGCGCAACCAGCCTTTTCAGTAAGAGATGCAGCCAATGAGACAGACATCAGGCATAGAAAGATATTTGCCCCCATCCCAAGGTATAGAACAGACCTGAAGACCTCGGCCTTTTCCCCTCCCTCTCTTCTCGTACACGTCACCTTTCACAATTCATCATGAAGCTCTCTTTCATCTTCACTACACTTCTGGTCGCCGCCGCCGCCGCCACCACCGCCCCTCCCAGCTTCGGCGCCCCCATGCCGACGCCGGCGCCGGTACCCAAGCCCCTGCCCGCCTGCAGCAAAACCGTCGACACCGCCGTTGGCGCCGCCGGTGCCGCCATCAAGATGTTTCTCGCGCGCGCAGGGTCTAAAGTTCCTCATCTCGACGAGGCCATCCACGCCGGCAACACCTGCTTCAAGCGCGAAATCGGCTGCGGCGTGGGTGCGGCCGACGGCGCGCTGCCGCGGCCCGGCCAGCTGGACTGCAGCGGCACCATTGACAAGGGGCTCAAATATGCCGTCGCCGCGCTTCGGGCGGGCTTTAAGGTGTTTCTGCCCACAGGTTATGATAGGGGCGTCAAGGAGGGTCTCAAATGTTTTCGGGAGACGCTGGGCTGTAAAAAAGATGAAGCCTAAAGTCCGGGCGCTGCAGACTCTAGCTGCATCATCGGTGTACGTCTGCAAGAGAGACCGCTTTATCATTTATTTTGACTTTCAACCATGATACAGTAATAGCGTATCATCATTGTTGCATCGCCGGCTGTCTTTGATGTCATAGCTCTTGCAGAGCTCTTCACATGGCAAGTCGGTGCTGTAGATACTGTCTCATTCACTAGTTCTTGTCAAGAGAATGAATTCTTACTCAATGACCTCTTTTCACAAAGTGAGATCAAGGGTTATGGACTTGATGTTAGTTTCACTATGCGGCAGCCATACAATGGAATTGCGTGTAAGCGCCACCGGCTCGTAGTTGCACTACATCCGTACCAATCAATACATTCGCAACTCTAGTGTATCGTGCCGTCATCACTCAGAAGTCCTCTGTATGACCTTGAAATTTGCTTTTACTTTTTTTCTTCCATAAAATTACTGATAAGGAGAATATTGTACACCGCTGAGTTTCCGTCTTCCAGAGACTGGCGTGCGGTCCCGCTTCGTCAGATGCTGCTACCCGCGATGAGTTGCCATCTTGACCAGTTACATGGAGTGATCAATGTACAGACCACCGCGGACCCGGAACATCTTAGGTCGTTTTGTATACAACGCAAAGGTAGAGAACAGACCGACGTATGGCGGAAGGCGCTCCTTACTGTGGTGGGGTAACTTCTCAATCATGGCCAAATGTCGAGCAGAAGGGTTCGTCCGTCGCGCAAACTCAGTCATACGCCTGCCATCAGTACACTTGTAATACCGTCACTCGAGTAGGCACTCATTTGCAACAGAATACAATTTATTCAGCATATTCTTATCTATCCATTCTCGCTTTACCACTAGACGGCTCCTGTTACGTTGAGACTTTCCGACAAAGGTCAAACCGCCATGGCAGACAGAAGATCAGCTCGGCCTACCGCAGGGCCTAGCAACCCGCCCGAAGCGCAAAGAATCTCGGAGCCAAAGCTTAGTCGCCAGAAGTACGTTTTCTAAAACTCTTTCTGACAATCTGCCTCTGGTGTGCTCCGCTGATATTTTGGTAGGCATTGGCCATTCGTGGCCTGTTTCATTGGCGGATGGGTGCAAATGAAGCAGGAACAACTCGAAGCCATCTGCGAGGCCACCTATAATATGCCGCCGCCGTGTCCCATAGACCCGGCCATCTTGTTCGATATGCTCCGGATTCGGCGTTTAGTCGACGACGCCGCTAGTGATGTCGAAAGGGAGGAGGAAAGCCAAAGCTCGCCGTTTAGTCGGGAAACGCTCGGCTCGGGGGTACGGGCTCGCCTCCGCAGGCAAGCTTGCCAGAAATTGAGTGAAGCATACCGCATAGACGAGCTTGTCTGTAGCATGGCAATGTTGAGGTGCGCTCCGAGCCTGGAGGATGTCTCGTCTCGAGTCGTGAAGGAGAACACTGCCAATGTCGATGCCAAGTATGTGCAGGTCTTTTACGAAAAGATTACTCGCAATACATTGGCTACGTCCACGACGCTGGAGCCGTTAAACTAGATATTAGAGGCCAGCGATGGTTGCCATACTGTCGAGCATTTGAGGACGCGGGCGATAATAAATGCGTTCTTGGGTAATCTGGACGATGCTATACAGGATCTCGGGGTGGCGATTGCGAGATACACATACGCGACAAGCCATGCACAGCATTCTGAGTCTCAGTATGAGGAGATACCAGACGAGAAACGACCGGATGAGAAGGCGGGGGGTCAGTCAGAACCAGGAGAGACGACACGACAGAAAGCACCTCGCAAGAAAGTGCTCGAACACGACAAGCCCGATAGTCTTCTCGGCCAGCTTCACTTCCATCGCGGCTCCATCAGCCTGCAGATGGCATATCATCACATCTCCAACAGCTTTGCTCCTGAGGGATATGCTTCAGAAACGCAGGATACTTCTCCCGCAGATCTAAGCGTCGACGAAAAGAAGCAGATTAAGTCTCGAAAACTCGTCAAACGGTACGCCAGATCGGCCATGCAGGACTTCAAAGCCTTTCTTGGCAGATTCCAATACTCTCCTGACTGGCCCATGGAAGCCGCCAAGGACTTTGAAGATTTTTTCGAGGCTGTGAACGCCGCAAAGAAGCCTTCGCGCGCGCAACTGGGTCCGAGACGCCCGCCAGCGAATAATCGTCTATACGCGGTTTCGCAACTCTTTGAGGCTGAAGAGATCCCCAATCTCCCCCCATACCCGCCGCCAACCATGGCAGACGAGGAACTTGGCCCAGTAACTGACCTTTTTGATGCCGTCGTGGTCGAGTTGAAAGAAACGCCGACAGTGTGCGAGAGCGTCACATATCATCCACTCCTTCTGGAAGCTCTGCACGCGTTACTCCTGTGCCATTGCTTGGTACAGACATCACCAACGGAGATCCGACGCCATGCCTACATGGTTGCGCGCCTCTCGCGCCTCTGCGACGGCTACCCATTATTTAAAGTTGGTTTTTTCCCTTCGCGATTCGACTGGAATCAGGTCCTCTCAGAAGCACCGTTTCTTTCACTTGCAGCAGCTTGGGCGGATCTCTGCGCTCCCAAGTGCCGCGCGGCACAATGCAAGCTTATATTTGACGTTTCTACGACCGCCGCTATCGAGAAGAAAGTTAAAACGAAAGGTGCCACCACCGAAGGAGTGACCCTGGCGGGCATTGCACTTGGCACCCTTCACACCGAGTACAGGAATACATTAATGCAGTTGTCACAAGACAAGATCACCTCGGATGAAATTCTGCTTCGTGAGGCATACCAGCCGCCAGGCAACCGCCTGGAACAGAATGAGCTACCAGATGCCGTGCTAAACCTAGCCACGGGCACTGGGCACGCAGGCGACGTTGTGCGGTGGCTCAACGAGGTACCTCTTGTGCGGATGGGGCGCAAGAAGAAGTCGCGCAAAAATGTCGCTGCGAGAAGTGATGCCGAGGAGACAGAAGTCACCGTTGTCCCAACGGCTGATCAAGGTGGCCGTGCGAGGAGCGAAACCAAGCAGCCAGATGTAACAGTGGTAGAGACTACTCTACCAATCCGATAGATGCTTATTTTGACTTGCAAGCGATCCATGTAGCGTATAGTTGAATTCTGAATATATTTCACCAGCGCAAGCATTAACTCACTTTGGCATACTCGACCTCTGTCACGGGCTACTTCTAAATTGCAACTGTATAATCCACCCCCATGATAAAACCACAGTAAAAATCCCGGCAAACTCCCGATTTTTCATAACATCCAAGGAATGTGCCATCTTGTCAGCCAACGAACAAGAACAAAGCTATATCTTCGAGGCGGGTAGAATCAGCAGAAACAGCAATCACAAAAATGTCCGTCATCTAGCTGGACATGATTCGGCTAGTACCAGCTCGCATCGACCGAGATATTATTCGCCGAGTTGAGCATGGCGTCAAGCTCGCTGACTCCCTCGCGCTCAAACACGTGCATGAGCTCCATCTGCTGTGACTGCGACAGGCTGCCGTGGCGGCCGGGCATGTAGCCGTAAGGAGAGAGGCCGCCGTCGATGGGCGAGGCCATGGTGGGCATTCCCGCCATGGCAGCGGCATTTTGCTGGCCCGCGGGGCTAAAGGCATTGGAGTCGACACTGAGGGGCGTTTCGGCGGCGACGGCGTCAAGGAAGCTGCTGCTGCTCATCTGGCCAATGTTGTACGGCGAGATAAACTGCGGCATGGGCGTGGCATACCAGTCGCCACCGCCGCCGCCGCCGCCGCCGCCACCACCACCGGGCGCCATAGCATTGGGCAGAGGCTTTTGGTCCGGCAGGCCGGGCCCGGCGCGGGGCATGGCGGCGGGGTTGCCCATGTTCTTTTGTTGTTGCTGCTGCTGCTGCGGCGGCGGCGGCGTTATGTGCGGCGGGCCACCACCTGTGGCCATAGTCATAGAGGCCATCGAGGTTTCCATCATGTTGGGCGCGGCCAGGCTCATGCCAGGAGGGGTAAAGCCGGAATTAGTTGAAGCGGCGGAGAGGGTGGCGGGAGGGGCGAGTGACTCGGGGGGCGTCGGCATGTGGTTGCTCATTTGATCGGAGTGACAGGGTGTGGGATGTTGAGATGGTGGTTGCGAATGCTGCTGATGCTGGTGCTGGTGCTGGTGCTGATTCTGCTGCTGAGATTGCGGATGTTGTGAATGTTGTTGGTGCTGTTGATGCTGTTGATGCTGTTGGTGGGGTGTGTAGTGTTGGTGTTGGTTTTGCTGGTGTAATTGACTTTGCTGTTGGTTTTGCTGTGGGGGCGGCACAAAAGTTGCGGCTTGCTCCATGATGCCGTCACCTGGTTGGCTGATATCAGGTGGAAAGTACGAGAATCGACGCCCACTGGAGTCAGTCGCCGGATTGCAAAAGATGGAGTTGGATCGAAACGCCGGCTGCGGAGGGGGGAAGTTGGGGTCAAACGTGTATGAATTCATCGTCTCCGGAGGTGAATCAAATGCCCAGCCAAATTGAGGCGGGTTTAGGTATGGTAGCTGTGCCTGGCCATCGGCTCCTTGGTTCACCACTGGCGGAGACGCCATGTCAGTGCAGTTGGAAGGGCTGGCAAAGGAAAACAGCGGGTTGAACTGCCCATCTTCGTAGCTCTGCAGACATGCCTTTGACAAGATAGTGTACAGCTGGGCCGTAGCTGCCGCACCCGGCCAGCGTGCTGAGCAGCTGTCGAGTGAGTCCAACGCAGAATTGATCAATTCAGCGACCTCTTCTCTACCGTGCGCTTGTCGAACATCAGGATACGAAATGGACCACAGCAGCGTATTGAGAGCAGTAGAAAGGTTAAGAAGGAACATCCACGTCGAGTCCATGGCCGACGTGTCGATTTGCTTCTTAGATAGCGAGAGGACAAATGCAGCACTATCATAACAAATTTGCGCAGCGCTGGCAGACGGCTTTGGCACCTGAGGGGAGGGGCGATACAAAAACATGCGAGATTGATGATAGGCCCCAAAGTACCTGCAAAAGTTAGTGACTTCCCGTGTTCCAAGCCTCAAAGACTTACCAAGCCTTGGTCCAGGCAATTTCTTCCGGACGTGACTTGAGCCAGTCCTCAAGTCGTCTATCTATGCTCTGATACCATGGGTGCGTATCGGTAACTGGCTCGGGGCGCTTTCTTTCGTACAGAGTTCTCCTGATTTCGCATTCGATGGAACGTAACTTGTAGATGTGTATCGTGTTCATTTTTCTGTAGTCGGTAGATCCGGCTGTGATGCCGTTTGCTGTAATATTTTCGTCCTTGACCGTTGCGAACCAATCCACGTCTAATCGGTCGCCGCCCTTGGCGAAAGATGATGGACGTCCCATGTAATGCGAAAGGACGTATTCGAATGTTGCAACCATCCAGACGAGCCGTCTCCTCATGTCGATCGTTTTGGCGTCCAGGTTGTAGCCGGCTGTGATGGTCTTTTCCTCAGTGAGCCCTTCTTGTTGACAGATGCGGACGGCGAGGCCAATGACTGCGTAGATTGGATTTCGTGCAGGAGTGTGCAGTGAGTATGCAGCGACCAAAACGAGGCACTGTAGTGTCTTCAGGTCCTTTGGGCGCACAACGTCCTTGAAATATTGCATGGCTGCCATGTAGTAACCGTCAGCGAGTCCCGCATATTGCTCCATCTTTTGGAGGGAGACGCCAAAGACCATGCGAACGATAAAGTTGCGATACGGATCCGTGTCTCCATTGTAGACGGCATCGACGTCTTGCTTAAAGTCTTTTTCATGCAAGACTGGCCAAGACAGTTGGGCTACATAGGGTCAGTTGACAGGTGTGAGGGAGTAACAGAGTGGTGTCTCACTTTTCTGATAGAAAGCGTCAATGAGCTTGTTGGCAATGACTCTTTTAGGCAGACCTTCAGCAGGAACCTCAGAAACCATGGGATAGCTCTTTTTGTGGCCAGTAAGGGTTCCAGTTCCAGCCATCTGAATAGATTGCATGCGCGCTTGCCGTCTGGCGCGGACTTCGGGAATGAGTTCGCCTATGCTCTTGGAGTCGGTGAAGCGTTTGGCTTCTTCCATTAACAGACGAGTCAAGGCGATGCCACTGCTGGGTCCAAGGTAGCGAGGTATCTCATCACTGACGCTGAGGCGGATCATGCCACCTGGACGGACGATGTCTTCACTGCTCTTGGGATAGTCGGCGGCTTCGTCAGTATAGTGATCGAGTTCTGCCTCTAGCGCGCGGACTTTATCCTGGAGCTTGATGACATAATAACGGTTTATTTTGCGGCCTTTGGCGGCATCTAGATACTCGCATATAGAGCCGGATCGCTCGCAGGGAAGACAACGTGGGAGGGTAGGATCACAGCGAGTTTTGCGCTAGGGCAGAGTTAGTCAAAGAAGGGGCCGCAAAGGGTGAGGAGAACAAACTTGTCGGCAGCGACAGCAGGCTGTCAAAGTGTGGGCTACGCGATGTTCAGATCCCTCGCCATCCGAAAAATCGTCGGCATCGGTCGGCTGTCCCGCAAGTGGGTTGAAGGCGGTGTTGGCTCGAGATGGGACAGTCCCGAGGCCTTGACGAAAAATGTGCGCAGCATTCATGCTGAAATCGTGATGTGCGCCGCAGCTCCAATGGTGCAGTCCGGAATAGCTACCAGCTGTTGGGGAATCGGGCGCGAGGCGCTGGATTCAGGCCCCCGTTGAGAGGTTGGGGACGGCTGTGACGCTGCAAAGTAGGTACCGGGCGTGGGCGCAATCTATCAGATATTCGATATTGACAATGAAGACAAGAAAAAGACGACGTAGATCAAAAGTATCAACGGCAGAAGAATAAGGTCGAGGCCTCAGTGGCCAGTAACGTTTCGGCTGTTGTAGCAGTGTCACGAAGATGGTGGCGGAGGGGCAGCAGGGGCAGCAGGGGCAGCAGTGCGCCGTTGGTAGTGCGGCATAAAGTCCGCTTAATAGAAGCAAATTCTGTGACCCGAATTCGAGTATCGGGCGTGGATTTCGATTGTGTTGACAGGTAGCGGCATGGACGAAGAGGCTGTTTCCGTAAAGTGTCGGCGTAATAGGCTTGTGGTGCGAGAAGCGGGCTGGAGCAGCGACATGTGCTTTGGGACTTTGACAACCCTGAGGCTGCCGGGAGTAGTTAGACACGAAGAAAATGACAGACAAAGTGCAGGGGCGTGGCGTGTTTTAGCGCTGCCGCTAGTGGGTAGGAGCAGGAGCCACAGAGGATTTAGTGGAGAGAAGTAGGTAGGTAGGTAGGAGGTTACTTCAACTCGTAGCGGCATGGGTGCTGGAGATGTAGGTAGTGAGTAATGTACCAAAGTGCCTCTCAGTACAATTACTACCTACTTGACAATGATCAGTCGGCCTGATTCCCCCACCTATGCAATGTAATCTATAATCATATAAAGCCCAGCGAGGTATACAATATAAAGTGCTTGTTTCTGGTCTTGATGCTGGCGTTGTTTGCATGCTGCTGACCTAAGCCCCAACCATTCACAAACGAGAACTGGCCAAAGCTTTATCTTTAATAAAATCCAGGTCTGTTTACCGCAAAAATATGATGGCATTATCGTTTTCACTCGTACAATGCCGGTACTTAGTGGGGAACCACATCCCAGCTCCCTGGTACTCGGATTGTAGTACCACGCACGAAGCCGTGGAAGCCAGAGATCGCTTCGCAAGACCTGTGGGGTGCGCAGAGACATGCAGATTCGAAGAACGCCCGTCTAACCATCAGCAAACAAGCACGCATCTGGACCTAGCATCATGGGGTGAATTTATTTTCAGGGTTATGCTCCGCTACAAGTAATCGCGATGATGCTGACACTCTTTTCTGCGCCGACTGTGAGCCACCGCCGAGCTTCTAGGCCAGATTAGACCCAATGAACAAGCCCGAGTCGATCAGCCAGCCACACGACGGAGACGGCACCGTTGGCATCGAGAGCGCTCGCTGTATGATGAGTACTTGACAGCGTCTATTACAAGACCGATGTAGTATCTGGTACGAAGATATTGTTTCGGCAAACATTTAAACGACCGACGCGGCCATTGCGATTTCTCAGTGGTCAATTGACCATGCGACTGTGTACCACTTTGGCAGATGGGTTGAAGTAATGGTTGGGCATACACCAAGCTGCACGGAGTGTACAGATCAGATCTGGACAAATTGATGGACAAAGGAGCCAATCGGCAGCAGCAGCTTGGGCTGGCGGGCATGGGGACGCTCTCAGAGACCTGACATATGGACACTTACAGCTCAGCCAAGGGGTTTTATTGGGCTAATTGTATGCCCCGTCCGTTTCTGCCCAGACATGGCGTTCTTGGAATGTTGGGGGCTGTCGACGGACTTTGGCCGCAGTCTTCTCTGCAGGTGGGTGAATACCTAGGAACAAATGACCGAATCGAGTATTTTAGTCTCATCTGAACAGATAAGTCTGTCCATTTAGGTCGTTGCGTTGCTAGTCAACTAGTAAAAAGCATCTCGCAGCGCCACAGCGAGCGACAGAGCATGGTTGACTGGTTGACTGGTCACAAGTCGTATGGGTCACTGGCATTGTCGCGCAAACCCTATTTAACAGTCATTATTACGTTACATTCTATCAAGGAGCGCACCGCCACGGAAGAATATAATCCAGAAGCGGTCTGCAACAGGGGTTCAGTGGTAGCACTGGTAGTAATGGACGGATGGAGTGGGTGAGATACATGATGGCATCATGACTGCGAGAAACGAGCGACACTACTTACCTCTGTACTCCGTATGGCGACCTCGTGCTAATGCCTTGTGTGAATTCGTGTGCTGAAGCGGGGCCTCGTCAAGTCCATGGGCATAATACATGAAGAATGTTGCACAATGAATGGCGCTATTATACGCCATTATCAGCTGTGATGGCAGGCTGACAATGGCTGCAGCATCTGCAAGCAGCGCCTGAATGAAGACTTGCAAGCTGCTTCTATCAGTAGTCTCTAGATGCCAGAGCGAGACAATGTCTTAGAATTGATGCAGAAGTACCTAGGTATTTACCTAGGTACCTTAGAGATAGTGGATATAGGTACCTGTCCACCAAGAACATGCGTGGAGGTACTTGAGTAGCAAGTGGTGCTCGATGCAGAAGCTACCTACCGTAGGTACCTACAGCCTTCCCATCCTCCTCTAAATATTTACAGCACCGTGTTTGTCTCTCTGTAGGTATGCCAAAGGCTGCAACGTCCCTCACCTTTCCATTCAACCATTGTCAATCACCCGTTCATCTCCCCAATATCCATCTCTTCATCACTCCATGCATCTTTGGCGCCGCCTTCCTTACGCTCACATCTCTTCCGCTTCTATTTTCAAGGCCGGCTGACACGGACCTTGGCGCTTTTTGCCGCTTCCCTATCACTCTTGGCATCCATCCCGCGCCTTCCAGCAAGGGTCAGTCAGTGCCTGAATAGTCACACTTCAACCACCGCTTTTGGCTCGACGAACAGCTGGCCTGCCTGTCGACACTGTCTACGCGCGAATTACGCATACCCCGCCGCGATCCCAATCTACTTCCGTCACTTCCCTGTTACATCTTAACTCGCCAACGCCAACAGGCAGTCCGCTCCTGTCTTGCAGTTCCACCTTCGGCCGTCCCGCAAGCAACGTCTGCGCCGATTGCCCACTCTACAGCCGCCGTGGCTCGTGCCTTACTGTCTCGCTGGGATTTATATATCCAATTTACTTTCCTTATTCTGGCCACGTTTGCGCCATTAGCCACAGCTCGCCCGCGGTGTCGCAACGCTTCCGCCATTACCGTCCTCTGCATTCGGTAGCTTGCCGCCATGCCCCGCAGTAGCTTCTCTCGCAACCCCCTCCTAAGGGTTTCTCGCCCAGTGTCGGCTTGTTCGCGATGTTAGCTCCCAGTTCCTAGCTGTATGTCTTTTTGCATATGCTAATCTTTACCAGGTCGATCGGCCAAAGTCAAGGTCCGTAACGACGGTACGCCCGGCCCCGAACGACAGCTAACGTGGCGCAGTGCGATGGAAAACTTCCAGCATGTACGGCTTGCGAAAAAGCCGGCAGAGAAAGCGAATGCTCTGCCGCCAACGACCAGTTTGCCAGAGGCAAGGAGAGAAGGTATGTTGCGCCATGCATCGATCACGGACGCACTCTGAACGTCCCCAGTTACGTAGCCGCGCTCGAATTGCGCATCGAGAAACTCGAGCGCCGTCTCCAATTTGCCAAGTCGCGCAAAGCCTCTGTGGCTAACCACGAACACGAGGGTCCCTTCCCGAACGACATGAATCGCAAAGACTCTTTAACTCTTATCAAGGCTGCCATCCACCGTAAGGCAGCCAGGACTCGCGAAAACTCGGATGTCAATTCTCTTGTGTCTGATTTCGGCTACATGTACAACGTCCCGAACCCACAAATGCCTTCAACGCTGACATGTCTAGGTCTGTCAATGCCGTCGCGCGAGACTTTGAGCCCGAAGCATTCAACGTGACGTTTGCCGGCCTCGTTCTCACAGCGACAATGAACAACGCGCTTCCCGCGTCGACAGAGCCAGACCTTCCTCCGAAACAGGTCACACATTCGATTATGCAATACTTCATGACACACATCTACACGCTATTTCCGTGCTTCTCCGAGACGGCGCTCTTGACCGTCATTAGCGATCTCTACCAAGAGGATCACCGTGTGATACGCGATTCCGACTACTGGCTCATGTACATGGTTCTTGCGATAGGATATACTGCCCAGAGTCAGCAGGTCAACGACACAAACTACGAGTGCGGAGTTGAATACGTTGTCAAGGCTCTAAAATACGCAGATCAGGCTCTCGCTCCGGGCACTGGTACGCAGATCCAGTCCCTGTTGCTTCTAACGATATACTCCCTGCTCGACCCGGCTCATTTCGATAGCTGGCATCTTCTTGGCTTTACTGCCAGAGCCTGCGTCGACTTGGGCTTCCATCAAGACCCCCCTACGTCTTCTTCCTCTGATCGTACGGCGCTTGATATCCGCCGACGAATCTTTTACTCCGTGTACGCTCTGGACCGCGCCATTAGTATGGTACACGCGCGCACCTTTTCATTCACCGACGACTCCATCAATGTGGCCTTTCCTGCCAGTATATCACTGCGAAAGCAATCTCTTTCATCTGGTCCCATTGCGGCTCCCCAATCCACGGATCCCGCCTTGTTGCTCTTCCAGCTTCGCCGCGCCCAGTCATATTGGTACCAAGAACTATATCAGTCGGATACAACACCGCTTACCGATCCCACCACGTTCTTGTGGCAAATGTGTCTCGACATGCGCGAATGGGGCGAAAGTCTACCCGATTCCCTGCCTCCTGGGATCCGCCGCATGTTTGAGCAGGAGCTGCGATATAGCTATGTGTACTGCATAGCCCCGTCAGTCCGCGCGCCGCAGATTACAGACTACTCCCGCACTCTCATTTTTGAGTACTCACTCGAATATCTCAACATTATGCTTGAAATTTCCCGCACAGGACTCAATAGCGCGTTTTACACATATCACGATGCCCTGAAGGTGTATTTTATGGGAAATCAGCTTCTGGCCGTGCTACGTGACGCCGAGGAGGTGCTCCTGTCCGGACGACCTGTGCCTCCGCCTCCACTTCCGCTGGGTTGCCCGCCCGCGCCGCCGATCCCCCGACGCACCGCCCTGCCCACCAACGATGCCAACGATGCGCTGGAACGCAGTCTATGGTGTCTGGAGCGGGTGCATGAGACTTTGACCAAGTACAGCGAGCGGTGGGAGGATGCAACAATGCTCAGAGATAGCTTCCAGCAAATATCCGCTGACACGCTGCGACGCCTCCACGAGCTCCGTGCGCTGCGCGGCATCCCGCCGCAGCCTCGCCACTCGCCACACCAGCAGCATCAACATCATTCGCAGCACCAGTATTCACATCAGCACCAGCACCAGCACCAGCAAGATCAACAGCACCAACAGCATCAACAGCATCAGCAACACCAACACCATCAGCAACACCAACACCATCAGCAACACCAACACCAACAGTATCAGCAACATCAACAGCACCAACAGCACCAACAGCACCAGCGGCCCCAACACTCACCACTTCAGCAGCCTCAACATCATGCGCAGCAGCAGCAGCACACCCAGCAACAGCACCACCAGCAACAGCAACAGCAACAGCAACTGCCACCGCAGCAGCATAACCAATATCCTAACGGAGTATCAATTGCCCAACTCTCGTCGGCGCAGCAGTCGCAGCAGTCACAGCAGTCACAGCAGCAGCAGCAGCAGCAGCAGCAGCCGTGGGTAGGTGTCAATGTGTCGCAGTTGATGCACGGAGGGCCGCATCGGCCTCAGTGAATGTCAGCCTTCTACAAATGATGCGAGTGAATCTTGTTGAGAGAACGGGACCAGAATATACGATGTTAGCTTTTTATCTTTATTCTGGAGAATAGAATACCCACTCGGTCCGCATGGATGCAGAGAACTTGAGCTCTTGAGCCCCAATAAAATACTGGCATATGCATAGAAGTAAATGTCTTGTTGCTTCTTCTCGCTCAGCCAATACGTCTACCAATTAATTATACAAATGAGCAAATGGAAAAGGCGACGCAAAAGAAGAGGAAAATCAAAACATTTATAAGCTACATGTCGTTTTGCGTAACGAAATCCCGCAGAAAGAAAAAAAACAAGTAGCACAATACAGTCTCAAAAAAAAGAGGCCAGGAAATCAATCTTCTCATCACGCCTCTTTGTTTCCCGCCCTCCCTCCCTTTCCCACCTGTTATGTAGACGCCATGAAGAGCTAGTCCCTTTAGACTCGACCAGTCTTCCAAATAAATGAAAAAAAAAAAAGAAATTTCACATCTTTTACAAAATCAACTCTTGAATCAACCCTACTGCTTTTGGTATAGCTAAATGCCAAAGAGAATTCCCCATCACTTTCACCAAGTACTGCAAGGTACATTTTGTTGGCTATCAACCGGCGCGTACATCCTGTAAATGGAGGTTCTTGGTCTGTCGAGGGAGTTTGCGATCGCGCTCGTACAAGAGACCGCAGTTGGCGCAGAGCGTCTATCATGTCATTAGTAAGTGGAAACAACAAGAGAATGGTGGGAGGCCAGGAAAAAACGGAATGTACATACTCTAGGACCTGCTGGACCATCGCGGACAGCCCACACGCTGGATCCCCAGATGCGGCAGTGCAGGCACCGCCAGTTGAAGCGCTCCGCGTCGGTGAGCGCGCCACCACCGCCGTAGCCGCCCGCGTCGGGTGTGCCGCGACCGCCTGGCGTGCCGCCGCGGCCGAGGGGACTGAGACTGCGGAAGCGACGCTTCTTCTTGGAGCGCTCACCGCGGCCCATGCGCTCCTCCTCGGGCTCATATGGCGTGGCGGGCGCGCCGACGGCTCCGGCACCACCAAACGGCGTGCCAGTGAGCATGCCCGTCGTGGAGCTGAAGCGCGCCGTCTCGCGGCGAAGGCGGCGCACCTGGCGCTCGCGGTCGCCCTCGCGCTTCTCCATGTCCTCCTTGCTGAGAATCTCAATCTTGGGCTCCCAGTCCTCGGCGAGGTGGTCCGGGTCGTAGCGCCAGCCGGCTTCCGTGCCGAGCGCCGCATCATTTGGCAGCTCCTGCTGGAGGCCACCCCAGCCTGTCACCAACCCGCCCACCTCGCAGGCTTCCTTCTTCAACCGCAGGACCGCTTCGTAAATGGCGTGCGTCATGGCCGGTACCCACTCGCCGTGCAGGCCCAGGTCGGCGCACGTCGTCTTAGCAAAGAGCTCTGCCGTGCCAGGTGGGTGGAGCAGCGACCACTCGAACTTGTCGGTGTACAGCATCGAGGACATGTTGAGGTTGAGATTTATGATGCATCGGTACGTGTCATCGGGGTTGAAATCGTCCGAGTCGGGGAGAATGGCCGTCGCTTCGGCCGTGACAGCAGGTACGCCGGTCGCCTGTCCTGGCACCGGCGTTGCCGGCGTAGCAGCTGGCGCCTGGGCCGGCGTGTCTGCCCTCGAGAGAAAACGCGCGGCAGAGTATGGCGAAATGTCTCGGGTCAAGGGTCGGTCTCTTGTTGTGGTTGCATTTACAGCGGGTTGCGCGGGCTGCGGCAGCGTAACAGGCTGGTCGGAGTGAAAGAGGGGATGAAGCGCGACACCCGCATACTCCTCCAGCTGTGTGCGAATCTGTTTGCTAATGTCGGCGGCAATGTGTTGCCTGTTGGGCAGGTCCAGGTCCTGGGCCAGCGTCTGCGCAAACTGATCTGTCGTAATCAGCGTCTCATGCAGATTCCAGCAAAAGATATCGCGTAGCTTGTAAGGCACCGTCAGCTCCTGCTGTCGGTACTGCGGCAGAGAGAGGTCGACACCAGGTGTGTTGGGTGGGGGAAATGGCGGTTGCGGCACAAAGGAGGGCACATCAAGGTCAATTCGGATCGGTATCAGCGTTAGCGGTAGGTTGGACTGCGCGGCGGTCTGCTGGTCGCTGCGTATGGATCTCGTCTTGCCCATCCAGTCGCGCCAGATGGGCTGGAGGTGAACGGGTTGGAGAGTGTCCTTGCCCGCTTTGCCGGACCAGTCCAGGCCTTTGGTGTCGTGCATGCGCAGGCTGCGCAAGCCTGTGGGCCGACGTCTTGGGTCATCGCTGTCATCTTCGAGGTCGTCGTAGCCGTCCTCGGCGTAATTGATTACCGTGGTGCCGCGCTTGGTTGTGCGGGAAAGGGGGTTGACACTGGGCGCGCTGGGCAGCACGGGCGTGAGCAGCGAGTTGTTGTATGCTCGCAGGCGCGGCGCGTAGCTGGATTGAAACGCCTGGGGCTTTGCTCGTTCCATCATGGGCGCGTGGGTGCCTCGATGGGCATCCCCAAGCTGGGATGGTTCTGTGGACAAGGGCGCGGACGTTGGCCGTGATTGCCGGTAGCCAGTCTCAAACTGTCGTGTCGTTTGGCGCACAATCGCGTGTATGGGAGTTTAGACTGGTGGCACCCGGTCAGTTCACGGGAGGCTGCGTGATGGACACTCGAGAAGTCGAGGGTACAAGATGAAAATGGCGTAGATGGAGAATGCGTCGCGATGGGCTAGCTAGCAGATGAGGCCCATTTCTCATGGGGCGCGTTTGCTGCTAAAAATTCGGAATGTCCCAAGTTACGTAAGCAGCTTTCAAGTACAGGAAGCAAACAAAACAATTGATTGAATATCGAGTTGCTTGCAATTCTTTTTAATCATTTTTATTTCATCGCTTCTCCTCAATTTGGATATTCCTCAAATTCTCAACAGCAAGTGTTATACATGTAGACGTTGATAACATGCGTCTTTGACAGTGACCCCTGCCTTATTAAAACGGCTTCTGCCCATAGCTGTTAGGCAAATTGTTAGTGGGCAGCTGCCCTTTCCACTCTTGGCTCAATTCTCAACTTACACGTTGCCCTCTGGGCTAAATCGACAGACGACAAAAATCTTGTAGGCCTCGGAGATACTGTAGGCGCGCGCACATCCGATTTCCGTTGATCCTAACCACATGCACTGTGCTGCATCCTACATGTCAGCCTGCTTCTCCTCTCCTCTGCGCCTCGCTCTCTACCGTCACCTACACCAGTGAAGCCAGGGCTCGTGGCCCGTTACGATGGGCTTGTCATCATACAGCGGCGCCTGCGCGAGCCATGCACGCATGGCCGACTGGAACGGCTCATCGTACGACGGGTGGCAGCCCGAGGCCTCCTGCACGTAGAGAACCTCGCCCTGGGACGGGCGGTACGCGCCGGCGGCGTGCTGGAAGGGCACCTGGCTGCTGGCCATGAGGTTGGCCCAGAGCTGCGCGTAGGCGGCCAGGTCGGGGCTCCAGGAGAGCGGCTTGACGAACCGTTCAGCTCGCGCCTGGTTGACCATGTTGAATGCTGAGACGAGGTCGTCGCTCTGTGCAGAAATTGTCAGCGCCGTGCTGGCGATGATGGCCTTGATCTTGCTCAGATGCATATGGAACGGTGCGTGTAAGCGGTATGATGGCGGATTGGTGATCAGACAATCAGTCGTGGATGAGTCACGATAAGCCACGCGAGCAGAAGCAAAGAAGATAAATGGCTGTAACAATCTTGCGATATTTCATTTCTCATCTAAGAAGTGACACAACAATTCACGCTCTTGCGTTTGCTCGCTTTGTCGGACAAATCTGCCAGCTGCTGCCAGCTGGCAGCCGGTTGCGCCAGACGAACGATGGAAAGCGCAAACATTGACAGGCCATGACAATTTGGTAAAGAAGTTAGCACGAGGCTCAATTGATCTCATTTTCCTCTATTTCTAGCACCTTATCGCGTGCAGCTACCTGTCTATTACAATCATCATTCGTCCGAGGCTTCTAGAAACCCGCCCCCAAGCTAGACACCAAACCTCCAAAATAATTTCTGGATCTCGCCGCCGCCGACATGCAACTTTTTACATCTGCGCGCCAACACTCACTCCTCCACCCCAACAACCTCCCATCTACTACCTCAACTCTCCCTATCTATCCTTGCGCATCACCATCAATATAACGCGCACATAATGGCCTCCCGCACCGCATCCTCTCTCCTGCGGCATCTGCGCCCCAGCGCCCTCCGCCAGACCACCGCCAGCCATCTCCTGCGATCATCTCCTTCCGCCGTCGCCAGCCGACACCCCACGCTGCTGCTCCTCCGCGCTGCGCACACCATTCCCCGACCTCCGCGCCCCTCCGAACGAGTAAAAGCAGAGCCATCTGCCGCCGCAGCCGAATCGCCCGCGTGGCAGCCCGAGGAGGCGCCCGCCAGCGAAGGCGAGCGCCCCGAGCCCAAGAACCCGGCCTACTACCAGCTCTCGTTTACCTGCGTGCCGTGCGGCCACCGCTCGCACCACAACGTATCCAAGCAGGGCTACCACACGGGCTCAACCCTCATCACCTGTCCGGGCTGCCGCAACCGCCACGTCATCAGCGACCACCTCAACATCTTTGGCGACCGTAAGGTGACGGTCGAGGACCTGATGCGCGAAAAGGGCCGCCTGGTTAAGCGTGGCAGCCTCGGCGAGGATGGAGACATTGAGTTTTGGCCGGACGAAGAGCAAGAGGCTGATACGAAAGCGGGCAGCTCATGAAGAAGGGGGGATAGACGGCCGCGGTCATCGGTTGGCGCAGAACATCTTGTACTATATATAACATAGAAAAGGTCATATGGCGTTGTTGATTACAATACCCTCCACTTTTAGGAAGCATTGAAGCGCGAGTGCACTCTACGAAAAGGGGAGATGGTGCAATTGAAAATGTATATTGATAGATTCCTCTCAAACTTGATATAAACGTCTTTGGACGTGACAAATAAAAAACTCCAAAACTCCATATGAATGCAAATATGCATGATGCTGAAAACACTACCACGTCTTGTACGTCTGTCGCATCGTCTTTTGCTCTTTGGACCGCACCTTGCGCCGCTCCTTGTTGCGGTCCAGCTTCTTGCGCTTGTCGCGGCTGTACTTTTCCGGCTGCGCGAGCGCCTCAATCTTGCGCTTGCTCGACCGCAGCTGGCGCCTCCTCCGCACCGCCTCGCGAATCTCGAGCAGCAGTCGCGTGTACTCGGCCGTGCCAAACTTCTTCTGCAGCGCGTCCATCATGATTTGCGCGCGCGTCTTGATGCCGTCGAGCCGCGCGCGGAACTCGTCGTCGGCGCTAAACGGCACCGGGATCGACGGGTCCGTCAAGTGGTGCAGCGGCTCCAGTACCTTGCGCAGCGACGGCCGCAGGCGCTCTACGGGGATGCGCCGCCCAATGGTCTCGAGCGCCTCCATGGCGTGGATCTTGGGGACGATGGCGTAGGAGCGGGGGCGTATCTCCTTGCGCAGAATGTGGGACAGACGCCAGAAGAGGTAGCCAATGTCGCGGGGACGCTGGGTCGTCTCCTCCTCGTCCTGGTCCGCTGCCTCCTCCTCCTCTTCTTCTTCTTCCTGCTCCTCGCCGGTGACTTCGCCGTTGGCCGTCTTCTTCTCAGGTACGTCGGCAAGGCGAGGTCCGAGGAAGATGATGACTTGTGTGACTTCCTTGGCCAGCGCCTCGTCGACTTGGGCGCCGCCCAGGACGTTCAAACCCAGGCGCACATAGTCTTGCAGTTTCTCCACAGGCAGCGTGAGACCGTAAGATCCTTTGAGCGCTTGTCCGGGGGGCGTGCTGCCGCTCTGCTTCGCAAAGTCGCCCAGATACACAGCAATCAAGCGGATTGTCACGAGACGCACATTGACATCCTCATGCTGCAGGCAAAGGGCAACATTGGTCCACAGCTGCTCGTTGTCGGGTGTGAGAACCCGCTCCGGGTACTGCACAGTAAACAGCTGCATCGTGCTAATGACGGTGCTGACAAGATCAGCATCCAGCTCGGTAACATCTTGATCTAGTAATTCTCCGATGGTAGAAAGCACAAGCTTGTAGTCCTTTCTATTCTTGGCGGCGTCTTCGTTTGCCTCAAAGTAGTATCCAAAGACCATCAAGCCCAGTCGCAGCACAGGCAAATTATCCTTCTTGTCGAGCCACGAGCGTAGCAGCGTGAGGAACTGTTGTATGCGCTCCCTGTCCGCCTTCTGGAAGATCTCCTTGATCAGCTCCCCGGCCGCCAGTTGACACTTTTCGCTGTCGTCGTTGGCGAGGACAAAGAAGAGCGGGAGGAAGCATGTCGACGCTACTTGCTGCACAAACTCGTCCGACGCCTTCATGAGAAGCAGGTGCAGCATCTCCAGGACAGACAGGCGGCCACCCTCGCGATCATACTTGAGGTTGGCGACGATGAAATCGAGCTGCTTGGCCCAGCGCGCCTTTTTCTGGGGGTACTCGCGGATGAACTGGAAGAATGCGCCCCGGGCGAGATCGCGCGTGTCCTTGTCGTCGTTGGTAATCATGATGGTGCCGACGTGGTCGAGCGTGTCGTACACGGCGGCGGTCTCGACGCGCCGCTCAAGGACGGACCGCAAAAAGTTGAACGTGACATGGCGATACATGGGCTCGGTGAAATCGTCCTTGAGTTTTGCAATGAGCATGTCGATCGCCGCATCCTTGACAATCACCTCGCGTCGATCGCGCAGCAAGACGGACAGCAGCTTGAGCGCAGCCTGTGCAAGGTCGGTAGTGGTAGATGTCGACATGGAAATGCACTTGGTAGCCTCTCTGACAGTGACCTTGAAAAGGTTGGCACCATCGTCACCCATGGGTACCTTGACAATGACCGCCAGCAGACGAAACGCCGAAAGCTTGACCTCGTCTTCACCATCCACAATAGCATCACCAATGATTGGCACGAAGCCAGCAATGTTCTCGGGAGTACGCAGGCTGTCGTGCTTTTTGAGCATGGCGCGCATAATGTCGAATGCAAACCGCATAAGCTTGTAAGTATGCTTGGACCCCTTGCCTCGGTCGTTCTTTTTGGCGCCCTTTTGAACAAGGTACTTTCGCACCCTCGGGTCCATCTTTGTCTCCTCTTGGGGCTTTCGGCTGTTGTAGACTTCTTGAATGACCTCGTAGCAGAATACCAAAGTATCACGGCTCTCTGCGGCTGGGTTCTGCAATAGGCCAACGGTTATGCGGGACATGAGCGCGTCGATCTTGCGCACCATCTTGAGGTCGACCTGTTCCATGAGCAGAGCCCGGAGAGGCTTGACCAGGTGAATGAGGTGCGTCACGGTGGCGGTCTTGGCAACCAGCTCCATCGAGTCCTGGCTCTTACTGCCCTTGATTTCCTTGGTCTGCGTCGTGTAGCCCTCGGCGTCTTTTTCTTGACCAACGACGCCAAAGATGTCATCCATGATGATATTGACGATGGCGGGTAAACAGTGGTCGAGATCGCCAGGGCCAAAGGAGGGTACGGAGGCAACCAGGACAGAGTGCATGGTGTACGACAGGACGTGCAGTTGGTAACCGCGCGTGAGGGCACTTCGGAGCTCCTTGAGAATGAAGCCAAAGTAGTTGGGGCCGAGAACGACGGCAATCTCGACCAGCGTGTCACGCGTCAAGTCTCGAGATTCGTCATTCTTACTGCGCAGAATGTGGCAGATGTCAGTCAAGACTCCGGCGAGCTTTTGGGTCATTTCCTTTTCCGGCAGGAGCTTGAGCAGCTTGACGATGATGACACCAACCGGCACACGGTAGCTGACTTCGGACTCGTCCTTTTCGTGGAGATATTTGGTCAGGGGCGGCAAAAAGTACTCCGAAATGTCGACAGGAAGCTGGGTCTTGGAAGTACTCGTGGCAAGGCGCTGCTTCCGTGCTGGGGTATCCTCTCCATCTACTTCCATGGCGTCTCCCTTGCTCTCCCTCGAGGCACTAAGAGCGTCCGCAAACCGACCAGCCAGACGGACAGTTTGCTTTTGCAGCTCTGGCTTGGATCCGACGTAGCTGATGTATCGCTGGAGTGTCGTGCGGTAGTGGTTCCAGTGGAGAGACATGGCCAGGTTTCCGATTGTCGTGGTGGCTTGTGCACCGAGACCATGATCATCAGTGCCATCTTCACGCCCAAAGATGAAGTGCTCCAGCAGCGGGATGAAGAACTGCGCCAGGTTCTGGCTACCCATTTCTTGCGACAGATTGGCAGCTTCCAGGGCCTTGAGAGCTTCGAGCTGACGTGCCACGGCGGGGCTCAGCAGGTTGAAGAAGAAAGCGGGCTCGGTCGACTCTTCTTGTTGTTCCGTGAGCAGACCCTTGAGGTCGGCAACGGGCGCCCAGTCGGGCATGGTGGAGAGCAGGAAGCCAAACACGCGGAGCGTCTGGCGGCGCACCGTCTCAGAGGGGTCGCGGGCGCACGCATACACCGCAGGCATGAGCACAGACTTGAGTGTCTCTTCAAAGGCAACTTTGATGTTGACGGGCTCGGCATCGGAGACGTTTTGAACAAATCGCCGCAAACCATCGGCAGAGTTGGTCGACAGGACACCAAATTCCTGGTCATCGCGGATGTAAAAGATGAGGTTGTGCAGCACGGGCAGCCACTGCTTCGGGGTCCAAGCAACCTCGCGCTCAGCAGCAATAGTCGTAAACGAGCTCAGGCGTCGGTCGTAATCTGGCTCGTCCAAACGGCCCTCCTTGTACGAGTTGAGCTCATTGCACAAGCTTGCGACGACGGCGACTTCAGAGTCCTGCTTTGACAGCGCAAGCAGAGCGCGAGCCAGCGATTGTCTGTTTTCGCGGTCCTTGAAATAGCTAAATAAAGATGAAAGAGTCTCGTAGACTTGCTGCAGCAGCTGAGTGTCTTGACCAGCGTGTTCCATGGACACAAAGCTCTCAACGATAAGCAGGATGCGTCCCTTGGTCTTGGGACTGACCCGACGCGGAGGCTGGTTAAGCAGATAGCTCGAGATGCGGATGACGGACTGGATATTTCCAATGTCCTGGACGACAATTGAAAATGCCAGGATAGTTTCGACACACGCCTCGAGGAGCGAGTGGCTGACGGTTTGCTCCTCTAGAACCTTGGTGATGCTCGCCAAAATCTGCTTCACATTGGCGTCTAACAACTCCGCCTTGATCAGCTCGTTGAATTCGGATTCACTGGCCGGGGCCACGGCCAGCTTGACGAGGTTGCGCAGAATCTCGAGCGAGTGCATCTTGACGTCGTCCTTTGTCTTTTGTCCTGAAATGCAGTCGATGACACTAGGCAAGACGCCCACTGGCAGTGATGTGCCGTGGGGAGCGAGGAACAAGGCCGACTTGGGAAGAACGGACCAGGTAGAGAAGAGTTGCATGAGTCCAGAAACACCTTGCGTCGTCTCGGCGGCAAGGTTTTCGATTCTCGGCGACACAATCTCCTCAATGATGAGATCGTGGTACGGCTCCCACTGAAAAGCTTGCGCATTTTGGAAAAGCGAAATGAGACACTTGATGCCCGTCACGCGGACGACTCGGAGCAGCGACACACTGCTTTCTTTCTCGCTCTCTTCTGCCTCCACCGCCACGTCCCGCAGATTCCGGCAGGCGTAGATTAGGCAGTACAGTACCGGGGTTAGTACTTTTTCCATGTAATCCAATACGCCGCTGCCCATCTCTGTAATCAACGACGAAATCATGTTGAGGAAACCAACTTGCTGGCGCGGCGTAATGATAGGTTCGCTAAAGGACGCCTTGGTCTGCACTGCCGACTGTCCGAGGACCTGGACGTCGCGGAGTTTGCCCATGGCAATGTCGAGAAAGTCGCCCATGTCTTGGAGGGAAAGATTTCGAATGACGGCCAGACGAGTAGCCTGCAGGCCATGGCGACCGCTGGCGGCGCCCTTTTTGGAAATGGTGCGGCCGTATAGCAAGCGCAGGAGGACAGGCATCAGCTGGGGTTTGTGAGCCGTTTTAATGAGCTCGTCATCTTGCAAGAAGACGGCGATCTCATTCTTGAAGCGTGCTTCGTCGAGAAGGAACTCGAGGTTTTCTTGGTACGTCTTGACGGCCTCCTGCTTCCAAGCCAGAATGCCTTTGAGCGCTAGCCTCTGCACTTCAATGTCACCGTTCTCGAGGAGTCGCAGCAGCGCATTGTAGACCTTTTCGTGCTGGTACAGGACCTTGGGGTTGACGAATTGTGAAAACACGCCGATGATGCCCTTTCGGTCGGCCAGCGACCAGTGTTTATCCTCCTCCGCCCCGGCATCCTCGCCCGTCGCATCTTCTACCGTGTCCTCTGACTCGCTAGCCCAGGAGAGTAGGTGAGGCACCAGCTGGCGCGACCTCTTCTCGGCAATGGCCGGCAGCGCATTGAACACCTTGAGGGCGCGGTTCCGCGCAAAGTCGGCAATGTTCTCCACGAGCTGCTGCTCTTGGTCAAATATCTCGAGCAGTTTCGTTGCCGCACCAGCCGCATCCTCTCGAATGCTCTCTCCAGTCCTGGTGAGTGCCAGATGCGCCGTGCAGTCGAAATCTGATAGGACGGGTCTTTGAGTGGCCGATCCATCGCCCATCGCGGCCTTCCATCGCGGCGAGGGCACGTCAAGCCACCGAAACGCAATTTTGGCAATGGCCTCCTCACCAATTTTGGACTGCGCAACATATTTAAGGGTGTCAGTGGCATCATCCCAGACCGGTGAGAGCTTAACCGTGAGCATGCCAAACAGAAAAGACGGAACAGCTTGGCTGACCCAGCTGGAACTGTCCACGTGAGCATAGTCTTGGCCCAGTTTGCGAATGAGCATGCCGATTGTTCTTGTGTTTTGAAGCTGGAGAGGCGTTTCTTCAATCTGCAGCATGGCGCCAATGACGTCGGCAGATGTGTCCATATGTTGTAGTAGTTGTAGTGAGGTGAGTCGGATATCGTGTGAGGGTGATCCCAAATTTTCAATGAGGGACGCGATGGCGGGGTCAGTTTCTGATGAGCTCTCTTCGCTAGCAGGTTGTTCCTCTGGCGAGGCGCTGTCAGATACTGTCTGTACATAGGTGAGATATGAGCGCAGGAATCCCACGGAGCGGGCAAAGCGCGGGAGAGCAGCCCGCAGCAGCCGGCTCAGAGATGGGTCAATGACGCCTGCCGCCTTGCTCATGCCCAAGTACGCGTGGAAGCCAGGCCCGACAATAAAGCGCACCTCATCCGAGTCGAGCGTGGACGAGGGCCGCAGCGCCAGCTTGAGCTTCTTGAGCAGCAGCTCCGCGATGCGGGCGTTGGTCGAGGGGTGCACGGCCGTCAGTTCCAAGATCTGCAGCAGCGCCGCATACTTTGGCAGGCACCGATCGCGCCAGACCTGCGGGTCCTTGTTGTACGGCCCGCGCTCGGGAAAAGGCGAGATCTCGAGGTGCTCAAACTTGGACACGATCTGGTCCTGCCAGCTCTGGGGCAGCCGACAGGCGTCCTTGTCGGAAGGCGACGGGAAGGCGACGCGGCTCTCCATCATGCGCGGCAGCAGCGCACATAGCATATCCTCGTTGGACCAGCCGTGCGCGGCGTGTGACCAGTGCGCGGCGAGAAACCTTTGAAAGTCGCCGCGCAGCAGGCTGCCGAAGCGGCGCGGGTCCAACTTGCAAAACAGGGCGCAGAACGGCACAAACCATCGCATGAGCGGCTCGCGGGTCAGCGAGCGGATGAGCGACGGGAGGCGTGGAAGGAGAGCTTCAACGGGGGCGTGATGGCAGGCAATGGCCGCGCTGACCAGCACGCGCGTCCACAGGTTGTCGTTCTCATCGGCGCCGGTCGGCTCGTCGGCGGGCGGACACGGAACCATCTTGGCGAGCAGCGCGACGAGCTGCTGGATCAGGCGGTTCCAGTTACTGATGCGCGAGCCTTTGCGCACGCCCGCCAGCGTGCCGAGTATTCGAACATGCGGTACCACAGCCCAGGCCGGGGGCGGTGTGTCGGGAACCACGCCGTGCAGCTCAACAGCGTCAAAGATGGCTTCGGCATAGTCGTCAAAGTGCTCGGTGCGGGCGTGATGCGTCGTGCTTGTGAGGACGCCGCAGACAACGTCGGTCCAGACCTGCCGCCCCCCCAGCGTTGTCTTTTCGTCGTCGGGGATCGCAGCGATGAGCGTTGTCAGGACGGCCGCGCCGGCCGAGTGGATGGTGCCGTCGGTGCCCTTGCAAGCCTCGGCAAACATGGTCATGACACCGTCGTTGTAGAGTGTGAACTGTCTGTCGTCGACCATACTCGCAAGATCAGCGCGGACATGTTCCACGAGCCGGACTAGCGCCGTCTCGCGGTGCGACGGTGCGGCCGCTTTCCGGACCAGAAAGCTCAGGGCCTCGGCGGCGAAGCGCGCAATGTGGCCCGGCAGGCGGGTTTTGCCGAGCAGCGGGGCCACGGCGTCGTATGTCGGCCGCACGTCCGGCACCAGCAGCTTAGACAGGTACTTGAAGAGGAACGCGAGCGTGCCAAAGGTCCACTCAATCACCTCGACGACCTGCGGGCGGCTCGCAATCGCAATGACAAGCGCCAGGCTCCGCTCGTAGTATTTTTCGAACCGCGCGCCCAAGTCGTGCGCAAACGCCGTCAGCAGGTCCAACAGCGGCTCCAGCCCGTCTTTGTCCTGCATCGCAATGTGCTCCTCGAGCAGGTCCATGATGCGCGTCTCAAAATGTAGAATCTGCGGCAGCGTCTCGCTAATGGGCAGCACTTTTTGCTTGAAGGAGATGAAGCACCGGCTGAGGTTGAGCTCGTTCCACTTCTGCAGGCCCGTCTGGAAATAGGACGTCGCGGTCGACAGGTCCTCGGTGTCGAGATCGTGCCGACGGACGCGCCGCAGCGGCTGCAGCGAGTTGAACTGGGCTATCTTGTCGGAAAAGGACGTCCATCGGTGGTTTTTTTGATGGGGTGTCGAGTATTTATTCTTGCGCACTTTGGCGATGCGCCCTGATGATTTGGACGGCATCGCGACGGCTGTGTACTTTCCACAAGAATAGAAGAAAAATTCTTGCAGAGAAAAGTACGCAGTGCCCCGTCTGTGTATATGGTGACTCACAACAAGTGCAGAATAGAGAAAGAGAAAAAAAAAGTCCAATTGAAGCTAGAAATTCAGTCCCCGCCAAAAAGTTTCCCAAAAGTTTCCAAAAAATTTGGCTGGTTGATAGTCGGCAGAACTGATAAGGTGTATGTGGGGCATTCACTGCAGGGATGCAGCCAATGATGCTCCACGCGCATCATTTTATCGCGGCGCCCATCTCTTAAAGCTTCAACTTCTCTTTTCCACCACCAACCACACTGACTCGTTGCACAAACGTAGCCCGGTCCAACAGCAGTCCAATCTCCCCATGGCGGCACCAAAGATGTAAGCACAATTGACTCTTCTCCCATTGACCAACGTCCCAATCCTAATCCCTCCCTCCTCCTCAGAATCGTGCTGGGCAGCCTCAACGGCAACCTCGAGTCCGCCTTCAAGAAGCTCTCCGCCCTGCACGCCAAGAACTCGTTTACGCTCGCCCTCCTCACCGGCGACGTCTTTGGCCCCAGCACCCCCGACTCTGTCCTCGACGCCCTGCTGTCCGGGTCCTTACCCGTTCCGCTGCCAACCTATTTTTCCGTCGGCGCCGCGCACCCGCTCCCCGCGCGCATCGTCGCCAAACTTCGCGCCGACGAGGACGTGTGCCCGAACCTGCACTTTCTCGGCCGGCGCAGCGTCACCAAGACGTCTGACGGCCTGCGCATCGTGAGCCTCGGCGGCGCGCTGGTCGACTCTTTGCCACCCAACGACGACAACGGCAACGAAGACGGAGCGGCGGGTAACAACAGCAAGGAGCAGCACGTGGCATTTCACACACAAGACGATGCCAGGAGCCTCAAGGGCGCCAATGGCGCGGATATTCTGCTCACGTCGACCTGGCCGGCGGACATTTGGAAGTACTCCAAGGTGCCGCTCGACGACGCGCACAAGAGCCAGGTGGCGGCGGCGACGGCGAGCCGGTGCGTCGCGGAGCTGTGCGCGGCGCTGCGGCCCCGGTACCACTTGACCGCGTCGCCGGGCGCCTTTTTCTACGAGCGCGAGCCGTTTATCCAGGCTGCCGCCGCCGCCGCCGCTGGCGATGCAAACTCGGACGACGTCTCCGTCACGCGATTCATCTCTCTCGCGCCGTACGGCAACGCAGCCAAGCAAAAGGCGCTGTACGCCTTTACGCTCAACAAGGCTGTTGACGACGCGGTGCCGCCCGGAGCGACGGCCTCGCCGCTCCTCTCTGCTTCGCGAGACAAGAAACGCCTGCGCAACGACGTCGACGATGGCGACGCCTCATCCTACAACCGCTACGGCCAGCACCACGACGGGAGACGTCAGAAACGTCACCGCCACCACCAGCAACTGCCACCTCCCGGCCCGGACCAGTGCTTCTTCTGCCTGTCCAACCCCAACACCGCCACGCACATGGTCTGCAGCGTGGGAGACGACGCCTACGTCACCACGGCCAAAGGCCCTCTGCCCCTCACCACCACCTACTCCTCG